CAACATTGCCAAGAACCAGCTGGGGTGCAGGATTTTGCAGAGGGCATTCGATCAAGGAACGCCTCAAGACGTGCAGCTGATCTTTGAGGGGATCATCCACCGCATTGTGGAGTTCATGGTGGATCAATTTGGGAACTATCTGGTGCAGAAGCTGCTCATGTTCTGCAGTGATGAGCAGAGGTTGCAGATTGTTCTAAGGGTCACCAGTGAACCAGGCTTGCTTGTCAAAATCTCACTTGACACTCATGGGTTTGTAAACTGCTTCACCTCCATTCAACTTCTTGATTTCACTTCCATAATCTCTAACTTTAGCGTTTTTTTAGTTAATTTGTATCATTCAAAATCGTAACGCAAGCCGATATAATGATGGCGTGGTTTTGGGTAATTCTCAGGACGCGCGCTGTGCAGAAGCTAGTTGAGACAGTAAAGACAAGCCAGCAGATAGCATTGGTTGTAGGGGCACTCGAACCAGGTTTTCTTGATCTGGCAACGGATCTCAACGGCAACCATGTCATCCAGCGTTGCTTGCATTCTTTTACCAAAGAACAAAATAGGGTAATGTGGTATACTCTCTGCATTCTTCTCAACTTATGGAGCCAACACATATCATCCTATAATCAAGAAAACAAGAAAAAACAAGGATGTGGCCAGATTACCCTTGTAATAGATGGATGATAATTTGTGGGAAATGAACAGAAAGTGTCCTATAGGCATTCAAAAGTGAGAAAGGCCACACACATTTTTGAACAAATGTTGAGTGGGCTATGGACATAGAAAGATAGGGTGTCAAGGTTGAGGGGAAGAAATGGAAATGGACACTTATTTGTACCAATTAAGCAAATCAGATAAGCACTTGGAGTTTCTTCCTATGAAACCAATCTTATTATTGGTATATATGATTTAATTCTTATATGCAAATCAAATCAAAGTATGAAACCTTTTCTTCTGTTGGTTCAACAAAACCACCCTGCAGTTCATATTGAATGCTGCAGCAAGGCACTGCTTCGAAATCGCGACCCACCGCTACGGGTGCTGTGTTCTGAACAAATGCATTGGTTACGCGAACGGTAAAGCCAGGGACAAGCTGCTTTCTGTCATCTCACTCCATGCTTTCATCCTCTCTCAGGATGCTTTCGGGTAAGCAATGCAGCGAAACGACTTCGATTCTTTCTTTCATTCTTTCTGGTTTTCCAAGTGTTGATCGAATTGTGCCGAGATGAAGATTTTGTTTGTGGCTTGATTGTTGAAGGAACTACGTGATCCAATACATGATAGAGCTGAAGAACCAGTGCACGGCGGGGCTGCTGCTGTCGCAGCTCGAAGGGCATTTCGTGCAGCTTTCGAAGCAGAAGTTCAGCAGCCATGTGGTGGAGAAGTGCTTGAACTTCATGGAAGAGAGCCGCCCCATCATCATCCATGAACTCGTCTCTGTTCCTCGCTTTGAGCTCCTTCTTCAAGACCCTTTTGCCAACTATGTCATCCAATCTGCACTTGCTGTTGCCAAGGTCTTTTCCTCCCCATCTTACCCCTCACTCCCTTTTTTTTCCATTCTCATATGCATGCTCCCCAGTCAATTTGATCCTTAGAATGTCACGTTGAGTGAAATTAGTTCATGTAGCTAAAAAAGTGAATCGAATTACTCCCTCTGAGTCAATTCCTTTAGAGAGATTGACAAGATTCATTTATTTTAATTATATGAACTGATATGATTCAATGCAACATGCAAGAAACAAATTGATTTACGGGGTACGTTTTAGGAACGAAAATAAGTATTAGCTCAACTTTAAAATCGTGTATCGCAAAAGTCAATTCTTCTGCTCATATGACTTTAAATTGATACCGACTCTAAGATTAAAAATTTAAAAGTCAGTATCAAATAAATAATTTTCTAAAATTTCACAGTAATGTATAATCAATTAGTCATCCACCTAACTAAATTTTTATTACGAGTATATTTTAGAACATTATATCATGTCGATTTTGAATTGTATGATCAGAATTGAAAGTTTTTTAAAGAATAAGAGTAAATTTCATAAAAGATCCCTAATTATAAACCGTTTTATATATTTAGTCCCTACGTATCAAATATTACTAATTTACTCCCTAATTATTATATCATTTTTCACGAATGTTCCTCTGTTAACGTTTTAGTTAAGAACATGGATAAAATTGTATATTCATACTTCTCTCTCCTCGATTAAGCTTTTCCCTCCTCTCGTACTCTTTCTCAAACTCATCGTTGAGTTTGAAGCTCTAAATCCAAAATTGAAATGATTATTCTTCTCTCAATTATTAGTCTTCCTGGTGGAATCTAAAATCAAAACCAATTAGCTTTATGGATGAATTTTATCGGTCAGTCTCAGGAAATTGCAAAGAAAATAAACATTAAAACTCATTCATGAAGGTTATTGGTTTCGAATTTGGGTTCCACCAATTAGGCAAAGAATTGAGAGAAGAGTGGTGATTTTGGTTTTAGGTTCAAACCTTCAAACTCAGCACCCGGGTTTGGGAAAGGAGTGCGAGGGTAGGGGGAAGCTTAATTAAGGAGAAAAAGGAGTGTGAATTTACAACTTTATCCACGTTCTTAACGAAAGTGTTAACAAAGGATCATTTGTGGAAATAAATACAATAATTGGGGACTAAATTAATAATATTTGATATGTAGAGAATAAATATGTAAAACGACCTATAACTGAAGACCTTTTATAGATATTACTCAAAGAATAAATACATAAAGTTTTTTTTTTAGGAAGGAATGCACATATTTAAAACATTAATGTACCAAACATTTTGAAGAGTATTTTGACTATTTAAAATGGGACCCATCAAAATTCCATATTCCATAACTAATTTGTTTGATGTTAGGATCTGCATAACTAATTTGTTTGATGTTATTTTTATTTTTTGTTTTTAATGAGTAAAATATGAATGGACAGGGATGCCTCCGTGCGCTGTTAGTTAACGCCGTGCGTCCTCACGTGGCCCTTTTGCGGAGCAACCCATTCTGCAAGAAAATATTGTCTCAGAACATCTTGAAAAAGAAATAGCCTAGTAATAATAATAATAATAATAATAATAATAATAATAATAATAATAATAATAATAATAATATGATAAAATAATGTAATTAATAATTCATGTGGTGATCATCAAATGTTGTTGTTTAATTAGTAGTGACTTACACATATATAGTCCATCTTTATGGACTTAAGTAATTAAGTAGACATGTTTATGTTTGGGCTTCATCAGATCCGATATATGATCATGTCTGAAAGTTGTTGTGTGTAAAATCAAATTTTGGACAATATTATATTTATGTTGATGTTGGGGGTCTATACCCTTATTATTAAGTCTCTGTTTAATTTTCTTATTTGACTTTTTCAAATGGCATATTTCCTTCGTAATCTCTATCAATTCTTTCATATCTAAATGCATCTCCATCATATAATTATCTATTTTCAAATTGTGTTTGTATTGTTTATTCTCATGCACTACTCTCCAAATAATATGTTTCCTAGACAAAAAACGACAACAATAGGTCAATGTCGCAAAGTTTTGTAGATCTTTTGATTAATTTTGAAATATAAGTTGTACTCCCTCACTCCCTCACTCCATTGATTATTTTACAAATGTATTGTGTCCAAGAAACTAACTCTTGAACCAAAGGCCAAATTTATGGTAATTGATCCAAGAATGATTTTGTCACATTATACCTAGTATCTTGCTAGTTGCTAGTGCACATTCTGGATATTCTATAGTACATTTCTGTCCTAAGTCTATTCTAGCACAATTTTCTGCATCTGTACTCCCTTACTCTTATTTTATATAGTATTTGTTCATTTTACATTGAATGATTGAATTTATTTTTTAATTCAATTAATTTATATGAAAATTGAAGTGTTATTTATTAAATTCCACGGAGTATATTCAAAAGCCATATCAAAAGTTTTTCCCCGAAACAAGATATGATCTTTTGACTATTTTATTTTATTAAACAAGAAATCAAAATAATTAAACAAAGTAAATGAAACTTGACTATGTAAATAAAAATCATATAAAACAGTTTTTAGCACTAATTCACAGGATAATCGCCTTAGCCCACCATACTTCATATTCAGAAGTACTCTTTTCTTTAAGTATATAACCTTCATTATAGGGAATGTGTGTGGGGTTACATAGGCCTCGCTGTGTATGTGAAGGGATCAATTTCCATTGAAGAACGTTATTTTTTCTCAATCACGCCATTCACAGAAATATTTACACTGAGATACATTGTTTACAATAAAAAATTATTAAAAATAGACAATTCTTTCAGCAAGAATGGCATTTACGTCCTGGTAGGATATAATTGGTGCACACGACTGTTGAACTAAAGTCATACTCCGTATCTAAAAGCTATACGTGCGTCTTGATAGTTTTTAATATATGCTCCCAAAAAATTTCGTATGTGGCAGTTCCATTGCCCTGGCTAACGGCGCCGGTGGTGCTCCTTTCACAAAATTAATACTCCGGTAGATCTTTGACCCGACTCCCTACCCCTCCAAAATGTGTGGCGACAAGGCAATTGCATTACCGCACAATTGGAGGGTGGCAAATGTGGAGATGAGATGGGGGTTCAAGAGCAATGAAGAATAAGAAGCGTTAATTTAACAAACGAAACATCAAACAAGCAATGGCACCGCTAGTGGCTGTGTATGCCAATGATATAAGAACTATTACAAAGTCCTACCATGATATAAGAACTGGAATCATAATGCATGATGTCCGTTTGGCTAAGAACTCAGAACCATAATGCATAATGCATGAATTCAAATCATAATGCAGGATATAAGAACTCAATTATCACATCATAATTTGACCCTAAATGGCTGATGCTCTACGTGATTTGGCAAATTTGGTTAAGGGTGGCAATAGTCATAGAGATGTGCATTCATCCCCCGCCATTTTCTAACCCAGCCTACAATGCCACTCAGCATTAAACTACTCAAAAATGTAAAAAAAAACTGCACAAATGTCTATTGGAATTTGCATGGAGGCAAGACAAGATTGTTGAGCCAAATATTCATTCTCCTAATTTAGAAAATTTAATTTTGTACAAGAAAAGAAATCTAAAATAAATTGTTAACCCTCCCCATCTCCCTAAACACAAAAAACACAGAACACTCATTTAAAATATTTCCCTACATTCTTGGGGAACCAATTGCTTCCAAAATACGGAGTAGGTTATACTAGAATTAGTAAATGGCATTACCAAAAAACTACACATTGCTTCCACTACCCAGAAGTTGACTTGTAATTTCACCAAATAATATTTAATTGAGACTATCTAAATACTCCTGAAGCTAATGTGAACTTCATCTGAGGAATAAGGGAGTAAGATAGAAATATACATACACAAAGGAAATCGATTTCACGGCAGGACCGGGCAGCAACTTATCTACCATTTCATCAACACCAACAAAAAAAGTTGCGGCATCAGGTTACTGCAAATCTAGGCATCAATGGGGGTGTAAAGAGCATTTCAGCAACCAACAAACCCACCAACAATCATCATTCTACAGACACACCACAGCTACTATCACATCACAGCCACAGCCGCAAACTCACGCTGTAACATTGTACAACTACTATTAGGTTTATCAATAGGCCCCACCGCATTTAAGATTAAAAAACCAACACTCAATGAACTGTACCATCCAAGGTAAAGATCATGGTGGGTCATGTCTAATACCACTTATCCCAATTAGATTTCAGTAAGTTGCAAGTTTTCTAAGCTTACCAATCATGACAGGTGGGTAATTTTGTTCTATGGTGATGTGCCGGTTCACCAGCATCAAAAACATGCTAACCAACAGCAAAGTAAAAAACAGCATCTACAAGCTGCGGCTACTTCATCATTCCAATCAGCCACATCACCTTTTCTTGTACACAAACGACTGAAGACCAGCACAGGTTTATTAATGAGCATTTTCGGAAATAGAAACCCACCTCCCTCCCCATCAAAACCACCTCATCAGTTCTTGCAAAAAAAATTACGTAGTAAATAAAAGGGCAGATTTACTTGAAACTTCAATGCATAGCTAAAAGTTAAGACAGACCAACACTAGTGCCGACTCCACACAAACAAGATAAAGTAATGGAACGCATCAAATACTACAAAAGAGTTGAAACCTTCAAAATAAGTATCTGCAAATAAATTCTAGACAGCACTAAGCTGATGGTGTAATGATGGTACAGGCATGCCCACATCAACGGCAAGAAAACTCTGAAGGAACCAAGGTGGGTATCCATCAAATAACCATTTTTATCCTCATTCCTGCAAAATGAGTCATAAGAAATTTCAAACATTTAGTGCAGGTAAGTTCATGTTGCTGTAATGTTCTGAAATGACCTAAGTCATAAGAATTTTCAAACATTTTGGTGTTGTTTAAGTTTATGTTGTTGTAATGTTCTAAAATGGAAGTGTATGCAAACAATCAATTCATGACCTAAGTCACAAACTACTTCAATAGGCAGGGTAAGCTAGTTCTTTTACAAAACAGATCCATGTATGAACACCAAAATGAAAATCTGCAACTTACATCCACATCATAACGCGGAGATTGACTGCGTGAATCAGCCCGACGTCCCCGTGGTGACAAACTTCTTGGACTAAGAGAACGCTCAATGTGATTCCCGGCATTTGGGCTTCCATTCTTGGGAGAGGCCCTGGGAGATAGGCTCTTCCTTGGACTATAGCTACGTCTACCAGGAGACGGACTTCCACATTAAACAAAAACGGATGAGAAAACTATTCAACAAAAGAGATGAGCCAAATGGCCAAGGAGATGAGAGAATATCACAGAGACAGTTTAATACCTTCCATAAGAGCGACTTCGACTGTGCCTCTCATCATCGTATCTATCTCTTCCACGATATTTATGATTATCCGGACTAGCACTGCGGCTTCTGCTTCTGTAAGAGTCTCTTTCCCTTCCACGGTATCGATCACGCTCATATCTTCCTCTACTTCTGCTCCTGCTTCTCCTCCTAGATTCCCGTCCACTGTAATTATCTCTATACCTGAGATACCAAAACACTATTATGATTTGACCTACACTAGAGGGAACCATGGAACTTCACTTTTTTGGCTAGTGAAGTTATAACAAATAGAAGCATGGAAAGGGAAACTACATTTCAGAAAACCCTGATTAGATAAAAAATTCATGTCGTATACATTGAAACTAAAAATGTTTATTTTAGGTCAGGAAAAAAAGATACGAGTCTTAAGTAAAGCATTAAAATTTTTCTTATAGAACAATGTAATCATTTTCTCAGCGAACAACTCAAATAAAGAGCGACAAATTGCCTTGGTTTAGGACTGAAGCTCCTTGATCTTCCCCCAGTCTTGAACACAGGCTCCTCAATTCTTCCTTTGTGACTGTAAGCAAAAATAATCATTAAATACAAATTAAGCAAGCATTCGAGCCAAAACAAATCTTGGATACTCCATGAATGAGGATTATAGGAATCTAACAAAACAAAAAAAAATCGTACATCCTCTCAGCATTTGGTCCATATTTTGCAAACTGGACCATTATCTCTCTTCCATCAACAAGTTTTCCTACACGTTAATGCAACCACAAAACTGTAAGAGAAATATCATAACTTGATGAAATTGTACCCTGGCCAATTGGCCAATTAATTAATTTAACTTCTTGAAGTTTACTCCCCTCTTACCATCGAGTTTTTCGACAGCCTTCTGAGCCTCATCCTGATACTTGTACCTTACAAAAGCGAAACCTCGCGAATCCCCAGTCCTGCAAGCATTCCTCATCATGGTAAAAATGACATGCCAGTCCGTTTGCATATAGATTCTCTTAAAACAAATTTTCACACTTGCACTTAAAATATCCATTGGTTGAAACTAACAAAACAATAGAACTTTCAACTGGTGGGAGATAATCTCTTTTACGATAGATTCCCAGAAACGAAGGTCACAAAATATATAAATTCAGCTTCATGAAATGAGTTCGAAAACGTATAGAAACTTAGGATAAACAAATATAAAGTGAGTACCTTCTGTCTCTCGGAATGAAGACGTCCACCACTTTCCCGTACCTATCGAAGAGGGGATACAGATCATCGGCGGTGGTACCTGGAGCAGAATCAACAAAATTATAAACAAAATTGGACTTTCAGGAGAGGAACAACTGCAGAAACGAGTAATAAAATCGACGGAGAAGTTGAGATGAGGGACTGAGAGAATACGGAAGGTTATGTTGAGAACGAGGAGCGAGTATGTGTCTGTGATGTCCGGCGGGCCAGATCTGCCGAAGTGCGACATCGCCGGCGGCGTTAAAAGCTCGGAACTCTCTGGAAGGGACGAAGACAGATGTTAGGGTTTGTGACGGCGACTGTGGGCTTGATTGGGAGAAAGAGGGGTACAATATTTCAAAAGGGCGGGATTTATTGGGCGTCCAGCGTCTTTGTTCGGGTAGTGGGCGGGCAGAAAGAAGACTCGGACAGTCGGACCGGACCGGACCGGACCGGGTATTTGGTTCCAAGAAGTGACACTTAAGTCATGGAGTGCAACAATATCAATCATGTTATCGAGTTCAAAAATATTTTGATATTTTATTACTCCCTCCGTCCCAAAATATTTGCAATATTTGATTTTTTAGCAGTCGTGGGAACTTTGTATTTTTATGCCTTTTCATTGTTTATTTGATAAAATAAAATATTCTTGACATCTCTTATTTCGAAAAAGTTTTCATGGAGTTTTTTGATATATAAATTTTATTTTTTATTTCTATACCAATATGTAAATAAAATAAATTGAAAAAGCTTGATATTTTACCTCGTGAATACAAGTGTGACAAATATTTAGGAACGGATGGAGTATTTTTTGTTCCAAATTAAAGTACTTTCTCTGTTTCATAAAATCTTTCCTTTTTCGTTTTTTCTAATTCCCTAAAATATTTGTACTTTTTATTAAAAAACCATTTTTACCCCAACTTTTCCATACTCTACTTATCACATCATACTTTTTTATTAATAATTAAACTATCAAATCTTACCTTATCCTTAACTCCCCCAAATAATTTGGGCACCATATATAGCGCTATTTTGAACATGAATGGTGTTCCAAATTGATGCAGCGAAAACATAGGGCTGGTTGGTTGGGGTCGGAATATGGGTTGGAGAGCCGGGAGTGTGTATAGACTATAGAGGTTAGGACATGCACTAGTGTCAAAATATGATATTGATGTTAATGTCAAAATAATTCTATCGCTAAAAAAATTATGAAATGCTTTTTTTGGCCCGTTAAAAAATTACTGCTAGTTCGTTTAAATTTATTACGGCTACCTATTATTTTTGGAATGAATAAAATTACTATTATTGTTAGTATATTTATTCTTATACATTTTTTTAAATTTTGTTGATATTGGTGTCTTTCCTCGATTGCCTGTCTGGTTTATCAAAACTTTGCTCTGACTACATCAGGATCCAACACGTGTAACGCACTTGGCATTGTATAATTAATAACCCACAAATAGCTATGCTAAGCATTTAATTTCTGCAAGAAAAAGGTGTAGACTTAACCATTTACCAGTCAATTACTGTCCAACCGGTTTTGAGGGTTCTCAAGAATTGAGCTCATTTTGTTACAACTCCACACATACTTAGAGGGTGTTTGGGAGTAGTTAATTTGTGTATAAAATAATTTTTCTCAAAAGCAAAAAACAAAAACAGCTTATATGAGCTTCTTCGTTTAAGTGCAGATGAATGATAGAGAAACAGAAGTTGATATATCCAAGCGAATAAAGCTATCACCCAAAAGAGAAACTAAATTTATAAAAGTAACGCACCGCCAAATACTCCCTTCGTCCAAATTTAAATTGCAAGTTGTTGTTTACGAAGTTTGACTGAAACTATTTTTAACACAATATATTTAAAAATTAGTGTGAATTAAAAAATAAAATTTACATATTTAAAAAACTACATCAAAAGATCTACAAAATAAAAGGTGACAAAAATATTTTATTTTATCAAATGAGTAGCAAAAATGGATAAAGAACATGATGAAAATTTAATTTTGTAAATAGTAAACAGGTAACTAAGTTGGGACGGAGGGATAACCTTCTTAATCTTTACTCTGATTCAGTTGATTGACACTCAAGTGATCAATATTGCTTATAGATTTGGTCTTTCATTTACAGTTCACAATATATATTGTACTCCATTTTTATTTGGTAAACAAAAACAAATTAATAACTTAAATAATGGTGACTTTATTTTTACATATACGAAGCATAAAAGCGAGGCTTTTGGGGAAAGATTTTAGAGAATTTTCCAAAAAAATTACTCAAAAAAAAAAAATCTTCATGCATTTGAAAAATGTAAAAACTTTAAAATTTAATGAAGTGCAACTATGAATATACATCTCTCTACTTCCAGGGTTAACTATATGTAAACTTATCTTATCAATAGAGAAATGAAGAGTACTCTTTAGCTTGAAATACATTACCACCAAATTATTGACTCCAATCAAACAAAATTTGTCTAAAGAAAAACTACTACTGTTTCTTCATATTAAAACAATGAGCAAATCCTTCCAGTAAGAGCACATGTCAAAAAAGGGAGATTAAAAATACCAAATCCTTTAAAAAAGAACAACCTTTTAAACTAGGATTTGCTTCTCTTATGCTTCCTGAATTGTTCATAAAGCTCCAGAGATGACGTTGTGCGTCCTAATTCAGACCTTAGTCTTTTGTTTTCGGTCATGTCACGGGTCAGAAGAAAATGCTGAGATAGCTTCTTCTTGATCGCATTCTCATCCATCAGATTCGCCGCATCAAGGTTTATTAACCTCGTGCCAACAGACTTGGCAGATTTTTTTCCTTGTTTCCTCTTGATTCTTGGCATCTTACCGTCGCATTTTGGCATGAATGATTCCTTGACCAGTGATGATTCTATGAATGCCTGCTGGGGAGAAGCTTTGGAATGAAGGATCTGATTGTTGGCAGCATTCATAGTTGAGATGCCAGATGCCATTGTGGATACAGAGGGATGGTAATGTTTCGACAAGAGGTTCAGCTCCCAAAGAACTGATGCAAGTGCCCCACTCAGGTTTGGGTCTGTAGCATAAGGGTGGTACCTCTGTGGTTTAAAAAAACATTATTTCTTTAGAGTTAATAATGCGGAAAATGGTGCAGAAATTTGGCTTCGGGCCCAAGATTACCCCAAGATTTGAATTTTCACACCATACACTTTCTTTTGATTATACATCCCATTTTGAGTGATAGATGTCACATGCTAAGTATAACATTAAGGACCCCTTCTATTTGGGGTGCATGATCAAAGGAGAAAAAAAATCATATTGTGCTAAGTTAAAAAAACAAACATTACATACTCCGTATCTACTTGGTCTTAATAATGCAGAAAATGGTGCAGAAAGTTGAGTCCGGACCCAAGGTTCTCCCCAAAATTAATATATTCACACCAAACTGTTTCTTTTGATCATACATCCCATATTGAGTGGCTGATGTTCCACGCTAAGTCTAACATAAAGGACCTTTCCTATTTGGGGTGCATAATAAAAGGAAAGAATTCATCTGGTGCACTGGTGCTAGCTTGAACTTTGGGGGGTGTAAAGCAAACTTATTTCCCTTGTCCACTTAATGGACTTTTCCCCCTTAGGGCATGTTCTTTAAACCTTTATTTTAACTGGTGTCTGGAGTTTGATAAGTTTGATACAGTAGTAATTTTAACTAAAATTTGGAGACTGAAAACTAGAGTTTGAAGATGGGAGTCTAGAGTCTAGATAACTAGAATATATATTTGAAAAGAAACAAACAAGTTCCTAAAGGCAATTGTATTTGTGTCCAGTGCCAACGGAGCTAAATGAGTCGTTTTTAAAATTGGTTCAGTTTTGGATAAATAATGAACTGAACCAAAATGGCACATTAAACTTCCTGGGTTCACTCCTTCATTACATGTAAATGTAGCCTCTCCATTCCTTGGGTAGAAGTAAGGTCTAAGTACATCTTGCCCCTTAGACCCAACTTTTTAGTGAGATATATTGGCCTCAAGTCCCTACTCATGAGCGGGAAATGAGGCATGTTCTTTGAGCCTTAATTTTAACTGAATTCTGTAGTTGGAGTTTGAAGACTGGAGATTGAAGTTTGTACTAGTATTAATTACTCCCTCCGTCCCAAATTAATCTTCCAACTTTCTTTTGTTGGGTTCTTCCAAAATAAACTTCTCATTCCTTAAAATGAATGGAATAAGTGGACCATATTGATTCTCTCTCCATAAATCTCAACCAAATAATTTTACTTTTCTTAAACTATGTGAAAAAGTATACGGGAAGATTAACCTAGGATGGAAGGCGTTTCACCCAAATCCAGAAAATAGAGTGTAGAGTCTAGATGAGTTAAAAGATGACAAGAAAAGGCATGTATTGGATTTGTTTGGTTGCAATAGAAATTAGACTTACCGCAATGGCACCTGAAACAGAGCCACCACCAGCATCATTTTCTAGCAAGTTTCGGCATGGAACATTCTTCTGGAGCAAATGCTTTAAGGCAACCAGGGCTGAAATTGTTGTCAGGAAAAAATCATAGATTCATAAAGATAAGCAAGCAAAGAATTCTGTATGGATAGTCACTTAAAAAGGTGCAGTATAACTGACCAGCCATGGACTCTGCAGAACCAAAACACAAGGAGNTTTGTTTGGTTGCAATAGAAATTAGACTTACCGCAATGGCACCTGAAACAGAGCCACCACCAGCATCATTTTCTAGCAAGTTTCGGCATGGAACATTCTTCTGGAGCAAATGCTTTAAGGCAACCAGGGCTGAAATTGTTGTCAGGAAAAAATCATAGATTCATAAAGATAAGCAAGCAAAGAATTCTGTATGGATAGTCACTTAAAAAGGTGCAGTATAACTGACCAGCCATGGACTCTGCAGAACCAAAACACAAGGAGAATGTAGCTAGACGTTTTATAAAAGCAGCGGCCCTCTGCATATCATGATGCCTTTCATCACATAACAATATCTTTAGTGCTTCTGCTAACACCTCCCCCTCATCCCTGCAAAATTAGAAAATGCATAATGTTAATAGAAAGCTCATTACCTATCAAAAGAATAAACTGGAGGGGGGGGGGGAAGAAACTGCCATCCAAAAAGGTGCCACTTTTTAGAGTTCTGAGGGAAATATTATTCCAGGCAGCGTAGTTAAGAAGAACACCATATAATAATAACCCATTAGAACCCAAGAGGGTAGATGCATGCAGACCTTACTGCCTATCGATGAATGTAGAGAATGTGTTTCCAAAAAGACTTTGGCAAGCAGTAGATAAAAAATAAAAATAAAAAGGATAAAGATGTATACTCCCTCTAATTCACAACAATCTTCACATTTTCTTTTTCCGACCATCTCAAAGTAAACTATACACTTCACCTTTTTTCTTTTAAGGAACATAATATGTGGCCTAAAAAGCTAAAATAAACAAATTTCAATCACCCACTTTTCTTAAGTTCTGTGAAGCCAAACTGTCAAGTTCATTTTACGGGAGTGTATATGTTTGTTGTGTGTATGAATATGGATCAAATGACTCTCATCCAGTGACTACTCTTGGACTCTTCACTTTCTGGTGCCATGACAGAGCTGAGTTCCAGCGCAGACATAGTTGGGTTCATCTCAACATCCTCTGCAACTTTCACATTTGGACCATGTCCAAATTTCGTGGTTTAAATATAGAAAAATTAGTCTAAAGTTTGTATTTTAAAAAGTCCATTTCATACTTAGCTTTTTCCCTTTTTAGAAAAAAAACTTTTGATGAAGCGGAAGGAGTATATAATAAGTTGAAGATCTAAGTAAAAGAAACATTCATGGTGTGAACGCAAGACACCTGATATAAGGGAAATAAATTGATACTAGCTCCACTCCAAAGAAACTCTTGATCCAAACACAAATATTAAAAGGTTTTACACCTGGCAGGGGGTGGGTGTAAATATTGTAGCTGAAAATTACCTTCCAGGCCTATACTCGAGTATGAGATTGTAGAGATGGACAAAGAATTCTTGAAAATCAACGTTCAATGCATCTAGATTCTTCCTCCTGATTTTAAAAGCAACAATGCAACATTGCAGCCTTTCAGTTACTGTCAAATTGGTTGAATGACATTCAGAAGATGCATTCAAGTTTTCCCCTCCTCCAGCAAGCTCTCTTAGATGCTTCAGAAGATCGAACATAAAAGACACGTCAAGCAAATGAGAATATTTTCCAATTCCTTTCAAACAAGGTTCAAGAAGAGGACGACTGCATGATGCAGCAGAGGAACTTGCTTCAGACCTGATCTCAACCATGTAGATGTACAAATGTCATGAATCACTTATCTTGTGTTTTAGTACAATTACATAAAGCAATTTCAGAAAACAAATGCATCGAAAAAGACAACCAATGTTTTTCTTAACTATATGTTACTTCATTCCACGTGTAGACTCAGATCATGGATAATGCTAGGGAAAAGAAAAAAATCTAGAAGTAACTACCTCAATGATGCAAAGGATATTGTAGTACAAACTACAAAGAAAGATTCATGAAGTTTACATATGCTCAGATTTCTGAGGCATATACATAATATAAATAAGTATATGAATGGGTTTGAACAAATAAAGAATATATTTATTGAGTTTGGACATATGCTTTATTGCTCAAACTTTAATTCACAAATTTCTCTTACATTTTTTCAATTTTCTTTCGATATCATTTTATGAGGTCCAAACCGAGAGTTTTGAGGATGATCTATTCTTTCTCGGAAAGAGCTGAGGCCATGTGTTAATGATTACACCCAAAAAAAACATAGATCTACCATTAGTAAATAGCATATAGATAGCATTCCAACTCGTGATTCGATGAACGTAAAAGATGGAGAGATTTTCTTTTGGGGGGAGGAGGGAGAGGAGTGTGAAAATATGTAGATATCCTACATGCAGTGTTAGAGCATTAGATGTATTTTATTTAGACACGAAAAGGGCAAAATGGTTTGTCGATCAGGGAATACCCTTGAACATGAGAGTCAAAATCACGATCTGGATCATATAGTTGTACGATTCTGCAGCTTGCCAGGCACTTTCCGATCTGACTTGTGCTCAAAATCGCAAATCTTGATGGATCGTACTATCGCAGAATCTAGTGAGATCACCGATCGAAATTTGAAATGTATCCACATGCGGAAATTTTAAAAGCTTTGTTTCATCAATTCGATTTTTGTGCAACCTTTTCCCAGTGATTGTTCCCTATTATAAATACGCTCCTTCTCCCACACAAATATGCACAAATACTTGCAGCATCAGCCATCACACTCCTCTTCAAGCTTCGCTTCTACCTTTGTCTCTCCTCAAGAAATTTGGCTTAGGTATTATTTTAAGATTTTTAATTATATATTACAAGTATGGGTAATAGGCTAATAGCCAAAACAGAGTGTGATTTTTACATACTGATAGTGATTTTTTTTAAAAAATGTTTTGTTTTAGGTTTCTGACAGTGATTTCATACTTTGTATACAATAGTGTTATGTTTTATTAAAATTTAATTTTAAAAAACTCTCTCTCTCTCTCTACATATGTGTGTGTGTGTATGTAGGATCTTACGATCCGAGTTACGATCTTACGATGTTCAATCTTTATTAGGGCTAGCAATCCTACATAGAATCTCGAGTTTGACTACATGCCCTTGAAAGTTGAACTAGATCTGATAACATGGCATGATGATACAAGTATGATTAGGTTTAGGGCTATCTATCATCTTCTTCCATAAGATGAGTACAATATTCGTACCTAGAATGCATGGAAGCATGCTTCAGGACACGAAAAAATATCAGGAATACAGCATTAAGTTTATCAGATTGTATCCTTTTCTTCTCCTCCATGTCTTTGGCAAATGATGCAGCCTTCAGTTCTGCATTGATCTGCAAAAAACATGAACATATAAGATAAATGCAACTAAATATGGAAAAAGGTCACTCTTCAATTACTAAAATCACAAAATACCTCCTCCCTTGTCTTCGACATCATCTCTTTTTTGTTTTTATTTTTTTCATTCTCTGTGGCATGATTCAGCTCCTTAAAATTCTTTGTCCTAGATTTTTTGTTCATCTTATTATCTGCTTCTGAAGTTTCAGGCTTTCCAAGATCTTCGTCAAAATATAAGGACAATAATACCTGTTAAAGAAGCAAATCACCTCCAATATTGGAAATTATATAATTCCTCATATTTTGCTTTTAATGATGTAATATTGGAACATAAACTAATAAATAAAAAGGCATAAGTGGCATGGCATGTGTTTAGAACATGGTGATAAAAATAATTTCAATTCCTCCTAAAAAGGAAAGTGACTATAACACCCAAAATCAAATATAGCTAGAGATACAATTTTTACCCGACCCGCTGGATAAACAAATCACCCAACCCAATCTAATGGATGAAAATCCAAAAAATATGGAAGATACACGAATGATAGACGGAATGGACGACATATCAGTTGGATGAGGGTGGATATTTTCCTCGCCCGCCCGTCACCTGTCCCATCACTTTGCTCATTCGTATTTATTAAAAAAGTAATAATATATTACCATGTGTCTCATTTTAAAAACACATACCCTAATCTGCTAGATGCCTAGACCACATTTCTACTCGTCGTCTTGCTTACTTAGCTTCATGCAGACCACATTTTCCTATATATTAATTAATTTTTGATGGGATAAAATGTAACTACCATTCTGAAATGTTAAGACATTAGCTTTTTTTAAGTGTATTGTTATTTTTTTGTTTTTTGCTATTTCTTATCTGGTATCATATAGTCCCTCTATAGGCCAAGTTTTTGTGGGGTTACTTTTGTTGAAAACACTTTTTCCTGAGCTCAATGAGTAGTTTGATACTTAGAAGTTAGAACTAGAAATGATTTAGAAACTAATAATTTCACCCACTTTCATCCGTTTCACCCGCAGGTGGTGGATGTATGGGATGATGGGTGATGTACGAAGTGGATGACGGATGCATCGAGTGACAGATGTGAAATTAATGGACGGATGAGGGTGAAGCACCACCTGATCCATACTCGACCAGTTGTCATCCCTAAATATAGCTAGGGTGGAAGATATAGAGTAAACATTTCCAGTACATTGCAAACACAATTTACTGACTTCAGCTAAAAGGAAAGAAAATAATGTTTCAAGCTTATGTACCATGCTGGATTCAAATTAAATTACAAAATTCAATCAACAATATTAACTGAAAGCTTTATGTCAGATATAATAAGTCACACACCTCTATAGAATCAGGATGCAACTGGCAATCGTTATCCTTAACAAGGTTTTCGATCTTTTGAACAGTCTCTACGGTAGCATCACCACCATGTTTCCCCTCATTTGTAAAAAGTGACTTCACAGCTCCACAGCAAAGTTTCCTGTAGGCAAGCACTAAGTGAAATGAAAAAAATTGGTAATAATGGTATTGCTAAATCATATAATTGTCATTTCTCATACGCATGATAAGATCAACCACACATGTATGAGTAGTTTCAACAATGCAAGACTGGTGGGGTAGAAGGGGCAGAAGAATTGGTACTCTGGTAGTACAAAATGACAAAGGTGATGGTGAATGGAAAGTAGAATGATTACGTCGCAGACTCGCAGTGTCGTTTTCAATTAGTCCCTCTATCCCAAAATGAACTTTACACTTTCCTTTTTTGGGTGTCCCAAAATGAAGTTTCCACTTTTTCTTGTTAGGAAATGAATAAATGGCTCTAACAATTTCTCACTCTTCTAAATAAATTAAAACCACGAACCTCTCACTTTTCTCTAAACACCTTTCATTTTTAACATTTTTCTTAAACTCTATGGAGTGAAAGCATAAACTTTTTAGGACGGACAGAGGATCAACAATGCTATAATCCGAGCTTTTCATTTTTAACATTTTTCTTAAACTCTGTGGAGTGAAAGCATAAACTTTTTAGGACGGACAGAGGATCAACAATGCTATAATCCCAGCTCCGTTGGGGTCTTGGGGCTCAAGATGTTTGCTACCTAACCTATGTTAGAACAACGAGGTGGTTTCTATTAGGCCCTTGGTGCATTGTTGCATTTGCTTCCCGAAAAATTCATAAAAAGTAAGAGGCGATTGAAGTTTTAATGTGCCATTTTGATTCTACGGAGTATCCATTACTTACCTGAAGCTAACGCATTATAAAAATGACACCTTTAGCTCCATTGGGAATGAATGGAAACTAGGAAGTGTGGATAGGGAATCGACACTAGCCAAAGTTGATTTGGTTTGGTAGCATAGGCAGCATTCCGTTCAACTTATTTTTTCTGCTTATTACTTATTCTTTTTAAAATCAGAGACCAGACCCAATCAGATCAGACCAAATCTAAAAAAAAAAAAATTATTATTATTATTATTATTATTATTATTATTACTACTACTACTATTACTATTATTACAACTATATTTAGTATTATTATTACTATTACTACTAATATTATGATTATAATTATAATTATAATTATAATTTTTATCATTATTATAAATAATATTAATAATAATATTATTACTGTTACTATTATTCTTATTATTATTACTATATTATTATTATTTCTATTATTATTATTACTATTATTAGTATTACTAATATTATTACTATTACAATTACTATCACTATTATTATTATGACCATAATTATCAGTACTATTGTTATTATAGTAATTACTATTATTATTATTACTACTACTACTAATATTATTATTATTACTATTATTATTATTAAGATTACTATTATTATTATTTCTATTATTATTGTTACAACTATTATTATCAGTTTATTATAGTTACTATTATTATTACTATTATAATTACTAATATTATTATTATTACTATTATTATTGTTGTTTTTATTATAAATATTTCTATTATTATTATTTCTATTATTATTACGACTATTATTAGTATTATTATAGTTATTATTATTATTACTATTCTTACTATTATTACTATTAATCTTATTATTATTTTTATTTTTATTATTACCATTATTATTAATATTTCTATTATTATTATAACTATTATAATAAAAATTTTAATTTTAAATTTAATCAAATTTATATGAGATCAGAGATCACATCAAACCAGACCATATCAGGTGAACGGAACGCAGTCATAGTTGTTAATGGCGAGTGGCGGTCGTGAGGACCTTTTTTATGGCGAGAGGCGGCGATCAAATGGCGAACATACATATAAATAAATAAACAAACATATATATATATATAGTAGATATGAACACACACCCGCATTATCATATAAAAGCTATTTCTATAAACGGTAAGTCTAAAATGACACCAGTGCTACTGGTGTCATTTTCTTACACCAGTTTGTTTGGGGTACCTACGGTGCTCCGTTTGTAAAACCGACGGTTCCTACCCCCTCTAACCCTCCCCCTAAACCCCCCCACCCCAGCCCCACCCTTTCCCCCCACCCCAGCCCCACCCTTTCCCCCCACCCCAGCCCCCCTCCCGCCCCCCTCCCTACCTTGCTTGCTGTATACTGCCAGGGTAGGGAGGGGGGCGGGAGGGGGGGCTGGGGTGGGGGGCAAGGGTGGGGCTGGGGTGGGGGGTTTAGGGGGAGGGTTAGAGGGGGTAGGAACCGTCGGTTTTACAAACAGAACACCGTAGGTACCCTAAACGAACTGGTGTAAGCAACTGGTGTATAAGTAACTGGTGTCATTTTAGACGCTCCCTTCTATAAAATATGATAATACACATAGTGAATAAGATAATAAAAACAATAAACTAAACTAGAGATTAAAGAAAACTGGTTAAAAATTGGTTTTGTTTAAGACAATGTGTGAAGGTTTTGTTTTAAGTTCAAAATTGGCCCTTTTCAAAAATTGTGTTTCAACTATGATTTTTCAATATAATTCAGTATTCTAACTTATTCAGGGTCCCTCACCATATATTTAAACTCTCCACGCCAAATTTTGGTGCTAAATAGGAGCCAAAACTCTTTGAAGGGAAAGAATAACATATGTAGAGCCAGTGCTAAACAAAGGCGGTTCATCAGTGTGGTATGGAGGAATCATAACGGTTGAAATTGATAAAGTAGTTTACATCAGTTCTTAAAGGGGACAAAATCTTTGAGTGTAAAGTATAAAAACATAAATTACCTTACAATGTCATCCTGAGAGCTGATGTTTCTTACAACTGCAGCTACCAAACTATCCCTAAAATTGAAGTGAGGAACTGCCTCCAGCAGCATACAGATACAGCGCATAGCCACACGCCTGCAGGCGTTGTTCTTTTCTAGTGCTATCAACTTCTGCACATATGCCTATTTATCCACATTGAAAGGAACATTAAATGCATCTAAAATGTAAGCACCCTTAAATGTGTATGCAATTACAATAACAAATCTTAAGCCGATAAAGACGTTCCGGAACTGATGTTTTAAATTAAATCTAACAAGAAGCAGCTTTAATGTGGTAAACTGATTTGTGAACATGTATACAACTTTCACATGTGTCTTATGAGTTATGGAAAGATAAATTTCAAAGATAAAATGTGGAGTGAGACATTGTGATATGTATATTTTACTAACTCTGCAATGCTTGATCAGCCTCTATAATGCAAGATTTTTGCTTTCAAAAATACTAATATGCCCTCACAAACCATCATGCAGAATAGGTTTGAGTGTCTTAAAGAGGAATTATTGAGGATAAAAAGATTAAAGGTACATTGATATCTACAGAAGCCACTTAAAAAGACCGCCTCAATGTCCCAAATCCATCACTTTGCAAGTATTGAATAACTTATCCCTCATAGAGTCGTAGACCAGCCAACCAGGAGCATAAAGAAAAACAGTCATGCAAAAACATCAAAGTTAAGACAAATAAGTACACGAGTACATTCCTTGGCCGGCATAATTTTTGTTCAGTTGAAATGTTCTCAAAATTCTGAGCACGAGAAGGAACCTAAAGGTTTCATATTGTTCGAAATTCTGAGCATGAGAAAAGATATGAATTGAATCTTCTTACTTCTAGAAACAAAACCACTAGAAATAATGTCCCAAAGAAGACTGGCATTAGTGGCATACATGTATACACTGAAAACTAGAATAAATGACATAACATTGCATACATCCATGGCAATGGGAATTGTAATAACTCAATATTCTTAATGTGTTGATCTATAAAGTTCAAAATCCAACCTTATATGAAGACAAGAGGGTTGATTCATAAAACCGCAATTTCTTTACAGCTTTTGACAGTTTCATTTCCTGCTCTTTTTCCGTTGGCAATCTGATGCGGAAGCTGCATAATAACATATTATCATCATCAGCATCATCCAACATCAAAATGAAAAAGAGAGAAGAATAATAAACGCTTATGTCAGGCTGAGAAGAGATTATCAGTTAATCATTTATGGAGAATCAACTTCATGAAAAAATGTCAAATTCTACCCAGGAATAATGTCTCTGAAAATAGCAAACAAAGATTTGAGTCCAAGTATGAGTATCTCGTGATCTCCATGATTACAAATCTGAATTATCTCCTTGAGAGATTTGATGTTTGCTTCTGGATCCATGAGCAAAGCTGTACCTAGCTCTGCTAGTTTATACTTCTTTCTCTCATTGTCTTCTTCAAGTGTCAAATCTTTTCTAACCTCATCCTATAAACCATAGAAGAACAACATGAAGGTATTAAATGGATATATGCGCTAATGTGTTTAGAGTATGCACATTTGTACTTTCAGAAGTGACAAATTAATAAGGTGTCATTTTCACCATATACAATGATGCGACTATTACATGCTATTTAAAATATCAAAAACCTGGTTCGGTCATTCTATCAACTCTACCCTAAAATATCAATGTGCTTTTAATTGCAAGTCTAACAAAAATATCAGTCTTGCTGGTGTTGAAAGGTGCAGTGAAGTATAAAACCTAATTAACTGTGTAAATGTTGCATACCAGCACTTCAGCTTGAGGTGTATGCAGTTGCTCCAGATTAACTCCTTCCTTTAGTTGTTTCTTTGCCTCTTTTTTCATTTTCTTAAACTTTGCACGCTTCTCAGCCTTGCTCAATTTCACCATATTTCCATCAGCATTTTCACCATCAGCTGTAGCTTCACTATCGTGTTCGCTTTCTTCATTTTTTAGATCCATTGGGACTGCAAATTATTTAAAAAAAAAATGAATACTTTGTGACCAATTTGATGGTATAAAAAAGCATTATGTAATTGGTGTCTATGATGTCTAGAGATGCAGTTTAAGTACATGTTCTGTAATAAAGATCCCCATCTAAAGTCTTCACGGGAAGTGCATCCACAGGATCAACTTCAATAGTTTTTCCTTCCTTTTCTTCCTCGCGTGGTCTTTTTCTTGGTCTCTTTTCATATAAATCTTCAACTGCATCCTCTTTCAGATCAGCAACGCGAGTAACATGCCTTTCCGAATAGGACGGATATGATTCAAAAAATCCAGAAGCTCATACATATTAGCAAGCATATAAAATTTAAGTGCATGTGAATAAAACATAAACAAATGGTAAGATATAATGAAAATCCCACTGATCATTCAGCATGATTCGAAAGGAAGCTGAAACTACATGCATTCATATCAATTTCCAGCCCTCAAATTTAAACATTGAGAAAAGACCAATTCACAAGTACTGCAAACAATCTTCAAATATCATTGTGAAAACGAGAGCCAGCGAGAGAAAGTATAATCCGTACTTGTTGATGGATTTCGTGTCCAGGTTCTTCAGCAGAGTGGCATATTCTCGATTTTGGCGAACGAAATTGATATCATCGTCCGAAATTTCGACTTCATCGTCTGGAACTTCCGGGGGAAGCTCCGGTGGGAGCACTATCTTCTGCCTCTTCTTCCCCATTGAGATTTTTGCACCGGAGCTTTCAGGTAGCGGCGAGATATGCCCCAACTGCGCAGATGCTTTTGTTTTGGAAGAGCCAGACGGCAGGTTATGGTGGACTCGATTGATGGGCTTTTTTGTTTTGGAAAATGGACTACGAAGCCCACTCGACAAATATCAAAACTTTTTTTTGTACAAGCTATGTAGTCCCTCCTTCTCTATCTTTTTACTTATTTCGATTTTAATAATCATGTTTTTAAACTTTGATCACAAATTAAAAAAATTACATTTAACATTAATAATTCATTTTGAAATGTAGTTTTGAAATATTATATTTTTATAATTTATTCTTTTACATAAAAAGATATATATCAAATGTTAAAGTCAAATAAGATGAAAGATGTGTAACAAACTGTGTAAAGTTTAAGCATATACCTGCTTTGATATCACAACCCTTTTGAACATATTTGTTTTCTTTGTTTCTACCGCATATATGTTTTGATATATCCTGGATTTTAGAGATATAAATTTTGGCTTTGATATCTTCTTTAAGATCTCAGCAGCTAAATATTGACGTCGAAACACGCCGTTCCCCAAGAGTTTGCTATTGATGGCCATCCATTGTTGCCTCTTGGTCACACCTGGGACCACATAATGTTCTTGCTCAACCAACAAATGTTATTGATAATTAGCATTTTAAATCTTTCAAGACTTTTCCATTCCAAATTTAAAAAATGTCATTTCTTTTAAATTTCATAACTTATGTCAGTTCAATCTTGTTCTGCCTATCAAATTGGCTCTCGTAATGTTTGCTTATCATGTTTAACTTATTATAGCATCAACTACGAAAACTTTTACATTTATTATCAAATCTTGTACTTTAGTCTTGTTTGGCGTGCAATGCCACGTATGAATTGATATTTATGATGTTGTGTTTTAAAATATGGTATTATTCTAATTAGTGTTAATAAAATTCATTAGCTTTCAAATATATAGATATAGAGGCACTCCCAATTGTGTGAGTCTTGATACGTAGTAAAAATTTGTAAATTTATTTATTTAAAATTTTACATCAACATATAAAGTAATTGATTTGAAATTATTTTGGTCGAAAATTGTAAATCAACTCAAAATATTTTATATAGTTGAGTTTTAAATTATGGTGTTGACGTGTGTCTTGTCATATATGCACTTTGCAATAGTGCATCATACTTCGTACAATTGGTTTATGCGAGTCCCTATATTATACAGTCGGCTATTCACGTATTTACATCTTTTTTTTGCCGCTTCCTTAACTGATTGCTTAATGTCACGATCCAAGTACGGGTGCTGCATGTTGGTGTCATGTTGCTAATTTTCGTCTGATGTAAGGGAAGGATCGCAAGAATGATATAAATTGCAGGTTCATGTGATATCTAATTTTTTAATTGTCTAGTCATTAAAATTTTCATTTCTTATCACTCATGCATAGAATAAGCATCGTTAAAAAAAATCCAGTTACACACTAATTGGTGTACGTACAATATCACTTTGAATCTCTGATGATACACAATGGTATAAAATATCAATAAAACCGTAAAATTTTACATCAATATTTTGGACGATAGTGAGCTATCAATGTGCCGGTGTTAACCTTTGTTGTAGACCAAGTAGTGTACACACAACATCAAGCACAATCGTTTAAAAAAAATTGTGTTAGAGGCGCATGAAGATTTGTCACTTGTACACCAAGCATATCACAAATATCCACACACAATAACTATTTGTAGTGTGTGATTGTTTGTGCCAACCTTTGGTGTAGACCAAGTGTACACATAACAACAAACATGTTTGTTTAAGAAAAGATTGTGCCAAGGGTACACAAAGATTTGTATCTCACGTGTACACCAAATATATCGCAAATATAAAGAGTAAAAAATTACCTGTATGAGAGAATGTACATAAATAATACTAAAATATAGTGACTTTTCCAACGTAGTATCATGTTTGTTATTTCCTAATGTAGTACCATATTGATCATTGTTTACTTGTCATTGTTTAAGTAAATATCTACCATTACTATACATTGTTCAAACTAGATATCTACCGTCACTAGACATTATTTAAGTACGAAGTACTAACTAGGGAATAAAAAATTTTAAGTACTATATTGAGAAAAGACATATGTTTTAAAATTATTTAATTAGTGCTAATTTCACTTATCTGTATCGGTGTTGTTGTCTGTGTGTATCCGTGATATAACTGTGTGTTAGAAAGTAACAATGCTAAGCATACTACATACTACCTCCGTCCATAAGTATTTATCCAGTTTTGTCTTTTAGTAAATTATTTTTAAACTTTAATTATATTTAAATAAAATATATATTGTATTTTAATTTGATAAAGTAATATTTTATGTAATAAATATAAAAAATATTGTTTTATTATTTTTATTTAATTTAAGATTAAAATTTAATTTAATTTATTTTTATTAAGATTAAAATGGACAAATAATGAGCAAGAGAGAGGAGAAATATAACTTTTGCAATTACTAACACGAGTCACACCACCTTTAAGTTTGTGACTATGATCAATTTAGTCAAGTGCCGTCCCTATCGTGTCGATAATTACAAGAAAGCCACGTGCCAATGGTGCCATGTACTCCGAATCTATCAACCTGACCCGGCCCGGCACCAGGGGTCTCCGTCAGAGCTCCCACTCTACGAACCACCAGAACACCAGGCGCGCCCTTCTTGCACCATCAAATCCCAACTGCCGTTATGCCGGCGGCCGATCAGGTACCGGACGGCAATTCAGCGGCGGACTCATCTCAAGGGCTCTGCACGTGCACGCTATCTTCAGCAGCCGAAGAATGCGACGGCACTTGCCTGCTTTGCAATCGCCGGCGCTCAACCCTCCTCCCTTCGTCGGCTTCCTCTTGCTCTCTGCTCAGCTTGGAGTCTTATCCTGTTCAGGACTACAACAAGCTCTGGAGAGTGTACTCCGCCTCTGTTAAAGGCTTCGCCATCGGAGCTGGCATCAAAGGCGGCCTCGCTTTATTCTCTATTATTGCTCGCCTCCGCCGCAGGCGATCATTTCCTTACGATAAGTAAATTTTGTCTACTTAAAACGCCTGATTTCTTCTGTATATGTGTATTTTTTGCACGCCGATGTGTTTTGATGCTTATTTGTTGCTCTGTTAAGGAAAATGGTCATGTCTTCCGGCAGCGAAGATGTGATTTTGGCAGTGAAAGAGACTCTTAGATACGGTCTGTTTCTGGGAACGTTTGCTGGTACATTTGTTTCAGTGGATGAAATTATTTCTTCTCTAGGCGGTCACCGCAGGCAGGGCTTGCTTTTTAGTCTTGAAGAGTTTAATTCATGGAAATATTGACACTATTTTGTTAATCAGTTGGTGGAATCACATATAACTATTTCAGGACAGCAAAATGGAGAGCTTTACTAGCTGGAGCAATAGCAGGCCCTTCAATTCTACTTACTGGATTGGAGAACCAACATACAAGTTTGGGAATTTACATTCTTATGCGGGCAGCAGTTTTGGCATCGCGCTGTGGAATAAAAAGTGAGCGATTCGGGTGCATTTGTAAACCACTAACTTGGGCACATGGGGACCTTTTTCTGATGTGTCTTTCCTCTTCCCAAATTTTGTAAGCATCTTTCACAGCCCTATAATATTGTTTTTTTTGGCTCGCTTCTTTTGAGTTTGACTCCATTAGGTTCCTTCAGAAATTCAATGGTTAAAATGGCTAAATACTCTAGCAAGTATGTTTTTGTGAGTATGTGACTGTTGTTAATGCACAAACTGGATATTTTTCAAACACAGTTATGCCATGAAGTTGTATTTTTAGTACATAAAGTGTTTAATTTAAACACATCTTCACACTTATTTCAAAGCTTTCATAAAGCACCTATGCTCTAGCTATGAAAATGAATGCTCTCTTATGGCCTAGAGAACAATAGCCCTTACTATATGACATTCCTCAAGACTCTTCATGCAAATGAGCTTTTACTCATTTTTACATGTGACAACATACTAAATCATATCTGGAAACATAGCGGAACATGGACTTAATGCATTTGTGCATCACATGATCAACTTTACACTTTCTACTCTCTTTTAGGAAATAGAGAAAGTGGACTTAATGTGGACAACTTTAATTCTCTCTCTTCCAAATGATTTCCATCCACATATTTTTCACTTTTCACTTAGCATCAATCACTTTTCAACTTTTTTCTTAAACTTCGTGAAGTCAAAGTGTAAAGTTCTTCCAAAGATCGAGTGAGTATATTTTTATGGAACAGTACGAACAAGGTCAACTCATCTTGACCCATTACCCATTTTTTCAAGAATGAAGTTCACCACTTCCATTGCTATAGTGATAGTGATATTGATAAGGCATTGTACTTTCAGATGTGTTTGGATGTCTTATTCTATTCTGCATTATTGTTGGCAAAGATCTAATTTTTCTAAGAAATCACTATATTTCAGATCAGCATATATACTAAAGCAAAACAGTCTGCCTCCATCTTACAAGTCCTTTCTCAATAAACATGGGGGAAAAGACCTTGTCATATTGAATGGCGTGAAAGACCTTGCATGTGGCATGCCAGTAAAAAATTTGCATGCGATAGAGAGGTATTACAAGTCTACTGGTATAGACCTCAAACTTGATCCACATATGAAAGTTCCTTGCACGGTATGCATGAACAATTCAGATTTACTGATTTATTAATTTGTAGATGTCTCGGTTTTTAGTGAATCATGAAATTATACTTTTGTGGGCGTATTATTTGTTTATTTCTTTCTCTTTTTTTACTTTAGAAGACCAATGGTTGCCTGTCATATACTCACATCCTTTTTATATGTTGAAGATATCCCATTTTAAAGAAATGCTTTCCATGCCATCATGAAAAGTGCTTCCATGATACTAGACCATCCTATTTTATATAGATAATTAATGGATAGGTTTACTATCTTTTTAGTGTCATAACTTTTGCTAAAAGAGCATATGAGCTAGCTATATTGCCAAAGGGTTCTCAGACCTCAAAATGAACTCTGATTTTAGAAGTAGTTGTAACAGATCTCTAATGATTTGCTCTTCTTTCTTGTGAACGTAGGCTCATACAAGTGTGTTATTCCAAGATATATTTTTTTCTTACTAATACCTTATGCATTGCATTTGTTTAGGTTACTATTTTATCTTTAGGCACCTAATAACATATTCTTTACAAGAGTAATTCTGCTTTGGCATCACCAATGACACCATTGACATACAATGACGGTCACACACACAATTGAGAGATTGGTGGTGTCAAACCTGGTGTCATGGGTGGTGTCACTATAGCAGAATTGTCTTTATAAACTTTCTCTGCTTTCAACTTGTGTAGCTGTGTGCTTGTGTTAGTTAGTTCGGCTGGCAACTACTTTTTGACATCATGCATGGTGATGGTTCTCTATGTTTGAACTATTATGCTAACACACTCCATCTCGAGTCATGCCAATACCCAGCTACTGGTCTCATATGTGCATTGCAGATTTGTGAGAAAATCTCATCTTTACGCAGATGGTCCATGGAGATCAAACATGTGGGGCACATTTTTTAACCTTCCTAATTCAAGCATATAAGAGAGCTCTGCCTGTCTACCTACCAGTTTATTTGATACCTGCTCTGATAGTGCATCGACAAGGCCTCTTGAAAAGGTGATTTCTGTAAATTTCTTATCGGTCAGTGATTTTCCATTTTCCCCTAGTTTGTCTTTTATTATCTTGACCGTGATGCGGCACTTGTGCGTGATCTATCAACAGTTTGCTCTGTAAATGGATTTTTTGCTGGCTTATCGGTTCGTTTATTTTGCCTGCTTATCATGATATATCTGAGCATGAGTATGGCCAGTGTCAAGCTGTTCAAGTAATAGTCTTGCTGTTGATAAGAGTTATTATTTTCATTATTTGTCGGTAATATGAAAGCTGATGTAAATTGAAATCATTCTATAAGGTAAGCCTTAACTGGAAACAACTTTATTGTGGCTAATGGTACATTTGTGCCTTTTGCTCTCTTTTATGTTGAATGTGAAAAAATTGTTGAACCAATAGGAAAAATGCCTCTTTCATATCTTATATGGTATTTATCACTGTGATATGCATGGTCATCTGTAGAATCTTCAAGTTTCTTCAAAATGAACTTTTCTGCTATAACCTTCTTTCACTGTTTATGTTGTTTTCTGTGTGTTCATATTCATGCAGACCTTATACAATATTGTGGAAAGGTATTTTTGGGACAGCAAGATCTAGTTTGTTTCTTTCCATGTATTGTGCATCTGCCTGGTAAGCGATTATTTTAACAAGCTATGCCCTAGTATTACCCTCTTTTTACATGCTCAGTTGTTCACTTCAGTAGACTCACTGTTTTCTTTTTTTGAGGGAAATGTTTCTCCAAAAACACACTTATCAACTTATTTGAAACTTTCATATGATTATGGATACAGTCAAATAGTCCGTAGCTGTATACTTGTTGGTGAAGTGTAAATGTACAACTGCTAAAATCATTAATCCAACATATATATTTCAATTTTATTGGATTGTTCATCTAAAACTTTCACATGCATACGCTACTTGCCGACGACTTTCTCGAAAAATTTCATGGAAAAAAAGTTTTGTTTCATCAGGCAATAGTGTTCTTTTGGGTTAAGAAAAGCATTTGAAACATGAGTACTTGGCTACATTTTGGGAATGTTGTAGTGTTTGTAATATACTCTCCCCCCATCCTAAAATTAAATTCTCAAGGTGACTTGACAGTTGACAGTTGACACACATATTAAGAAAATAAAAGTATGTGATTGTGGTTGATTTAGAAGTAATGGACCACACAAAGCTTTCCAGAAAAGGCAATTGGAAGATTTTTTTAGGACATTCCAACAAGGAAAGTGAGAAGAAAATTTTGATGAAAAATCCAAAAAGGGAGTATGTAATATTAGACTTCTCTTTGTCGTTCTGTAACCCAAGTTAATGCCTAAACTAAGATCAATGAACACCATTGACTTTTAAAGACCATGCTTCGAGAAAAGTTATATAAGGTGTGATCTTTTCCTCCATTCCACTTGCATGCATTGTGAAATTCTCAAAAACTATATATGGAGTATATCTATTTGGACAATAAGATTCATTGTTATTGTCTCCTCTTAGGTTATGGACTTGCATCCTTTTTAGGATTTTCAAGAGATGTAATATACCTATGGTGGCAGTTGGAACGGTATTGTTGTTTTTTTTGTTATTAAGGTGCTTCGTAAATGTTCAACACTGCATTATCATCATCATCACTATCAGTATTGTTGTTATTGGGCAGTTTCCGACTGGGTTGGCCTTGGGGATAGAGAAGAAGAGCAGGCGGATCGAGATATCACTGTATTGCCTGGCACGTGCTATTGAGAGCTTCTTCACAACGATGGCTGACGTTGGATGCTTGCCCCAAAGAATGAAAAACATGAAGAGAGTAGACATGGTAATATTTAGCGTTTCAACTGCAATTATAATGCACTGCTATGCCACGGAACGAGACGTCTTCAAATCCAAATACTTGAATGTTCTTGATTGGGTGTTTGGCGTGCCTCTTCCTCCGTGGGAGACCACTCCTCGAAGGAAGAAGTTCCCGTGAAGCGGATACTCCATTATAAATTTATAACCGTTGTTATTTATGTGCACCACTTATTGTATACCAACTTTGCACACCACATTTGGACATCTTTTTGTTCGCGCGACATATGTTGTCTCTTGAACAAAAAAAAATGTCTTTGTACATTGTACACATTGGTATACAAAAAAGTTCACAGAAAAGCTCTGTTATGTCTTGGCTTGTAGCATTCATTGCTCCAAACAAGTTGTGTGATAACAGTTCTAATATGTTTTTCCAAAACAGGTGTAGAATGCACCATAAATAGATAGTTTTACAACATCAATTCTTTCAATTTATTTCCTTTTTCCTTGCAGAAATGAATGCAATATCAAATCCAATTATCCCGTTGTAAAAATGTGTTCCTGGCTGTTGTTTCTTAATTTTAACATTGAATGTGGTTGAATTTTATCTTTAGGACCTTGTTTTATCTGGGGTATGGTAACTCGAAATTATATTTGGGTTGCAATAACAATTTTAACTAAAACAGAGTGAAATTTAAACATTGGAGTGAATAACATGTTCTCTTCTTTAATACTCCGTACATATTAGTAAAATACTCAGTAATTTTTTTTAATGAAGCATTAAAAAAAATAAAAATAAGAAAAGAATGCATAAAAACAACCCCCAGGTCACAATTAACGCGGAATGCATGATTGGAATCACTGCAATTCACAAGGGGCCCATGAGAGAGACAAAAAGGCCCACTTCCCATTAAAGGCCAAATCCAAACAGTCATATAAGGCTCCATCATCATCTATCCCCCACTCAATAAAGCTTTCCCATGCTGCCTCTTCCCCATTCCCAAAGGTTACACCATTTTTGTTCTTATAATTGCTCACGAATACACAGATAATAATTGTCTATATCTTTTTTTTTCGTCTCTATGAGTAATTATGATATTGTGTCACAATCCATCAATTTTTTTTAAATAGTGTCACTATAATTTCAAATGTGGTGTCAAATTGTTGTCGCTTTGGTATCAAAGTGATGTTAGCGGTAAAATGTGGAGTTTCTTAACTTTTTTCCTTTGGAAAAATATTAGGATGCACCCAAAAAATTTCTATCTGAGGTGCACTCACATATCATCTATATGAAACATGAGTGCAACTAAACTTCGCACAGATAATTATCATTTGTGTCGCGATCTGTATTATCTATACAAGTGCACACGCGGTAAGAACCATTTGGGCACCCTAGGATAGTGCCTTTTTCTCCTTCCCTCCTCACCTTTTACCACCTTAGCTTAGCACCTCTCTTGTAAAGAACTCAATCCTACAGACCAGTTTACAGAATCAGATTCAATCCAAAGGAAAGCGTGCGAGATGATGGTTCCCCACAAAAGATCAAGATTGCCTTTCTGGCTATTTATTAGACTACAGCTCATGATTTGTGAGTTTCCAATTGCAAATGTCTTGTTAATTAATTAATACAGTGGCAATGATTCAAGAAAGTTGCATTCTTTTAGGTTAAAAATCACTTCCGCCTCTCTTTTAGGTTAAAGAATCACTTCCGCCTCTGTAAAAGAATTCAAGAAAATAAAGATTTGGGCTTCTTTTAAGCTGCGAAAGTTATAATTTGAGGCTCCAGTTTTAAAGAAATACATGAAAAAGGGGGACTTGTGGCTGCAATTTGCCCCAGCATTTTCCTTCTTGCTACCCCACAGTCCCACAGTGTTAAGTTGCAAATGTCTTCTTAATCAGGCTAATACACTAGCAACAATTCAAGAAAGTTGCATTCTTTTAGTTTAAAGATCAGTTCCACCTCTGTAAAAGAATTCAAGAAAATAAAAAAATTGATTTTTTTAACTGCGAAATTTAAAATTTTGAGGCTCCAGTTTAAAAGAGACTGGAAAAGGGGGGACTTGTGGCTGAAATTTGCCCTAGCATTTTCCTTCTTTGCTACCCCACAGCCCCACAGTGTTATGTTGTTAGCCAACAACCCCATTTCTCTCCTACAGGTCTTGTGTGCTAATAATTTCAAGATATTAAAATTCATCCAATAATCGGGAGAGTAAAATAAACCTTGTATACTCTATTTTCTTTCTTTTCTTTTTTTTTTTGGAAAATATTGCATTGTATTTCTACTTTTTTTCTTTTTTGGGGGAAATATTTAATCATTAATGTCCCGTACTATATTCACAAGGTGTTGTGTTGTGCAGTTGTAGTATACGGAGTAATAGAATTGACAAATATCTGAAAGGGCAGTAGCAGTTGAGGTACAATGGACATGGGGTTGGGGGCAAGAACCATCAACTTTACGAATGAGACATTGTAAGTGTCCGATGTCATCACATGACACCAATGTCATGGAAACGGTGGTGGTATTTAGAATAGCATATTCACATTTTAAAATCATTTCATATAATTTGACAATTCGTTAATTAGAACATTCTTGATAAATTGAAAACTGAATGAACGGGAAATACATCATCTGTACACAGGGAGTAGTTGTATAGTACCTCTGCCACTTCTCTTTTAAGTAAAAATTTCAAGTTCTAGTTACAGTTTTTTTTCACAGGAAATCAAAATTTATCAACTGGCACTTTCACTTTTCTTACCTTTTCATCCCCTCTGATTTTTTGGGTAAAAGCCTAACGGAATAACAGGAAGTAGCATCATTTTGGGGGGAGGTAAAAAAACCCCAATATTATCTTGATTGTTATTTAGTGGTCTGAAGGTATTCATCCATCATTTTCCTCAAAGCAACAAGCACTCAGAGCCTCAGGAGTTTGGGGTCTTTGGGAGAGGATAAGATTCACTCATTTACTCGTCATATAGAATATTATTATACCCTTCTTCTTCTTTTTTTATGTGTGTGGTCAAGAAAGGCACACTTGTGGGCATGGTGGGTTTTGTTGTGCAGAGCTAGTGGGAAGGGGAGGGAGTGGTTTCTGGACACTGGGTTCCTGAAATCTGGGAGAGATGTCAAGTATAGTGTGGTTCAGGAGGGATCTAAGGGTGGAAGACAACCCTGCTTTGGCTGCTGGGGTTAGGGCAGGGGCAGTTGTGGCAGTCTACATATGGGCTCCTGAAGAAGAAGGGCACTATTATCCTGGAAGGGTATCAAGATGGTGGCTTAAGCAAAGCTTGGCTGATCTTGACTCCTCTTTGAGGAGCCTTGGGACTACCCTTATCACTAAGAGGTCCACTGATAGTGTCTCTTCTCTCCTTGAAGTTATCAAGTCTACTGGTGCCGCTCACCTTTTCTTCAATCACTTATATGGTTAGTTTCTGCTGCTGCTTTGGATCTTCTGTTTATGTTTTCTTCAATAAAGTTTGCCCCTTTTCTACATTTAATCCAATCCCAGATGAGATTTCCATGGATTTTTCAACTCTTATATTGAAATAAGAGGTTTATTCATTCATATTGAGCTGACCTGTGCAACTGTGAAACATTTTTTGACAGGGATTCTCTAGTTTTAGCATTTTAGGTAATGTGTATGCACTTTGGTACACAGGCATTAAGGAGTAGAGATTTTGTTTAAGTTAGAAAGTTTATCTTTGAAGAAAATATAGTAGCTATTAAATATCGTATAAACTGCTTTGTAAACGCACAAACGGGTAACTAATAATCTCCGTTTTCATTTATTACAGATCCATTGTCCCTTGTTAGGGATCACCGAGCAAAGGATATTTTAACTGCCCAAGGAGTGACCGTGCGATCATTCAATGCCGACTTGCTTTATGAGCCTTGGGAAGTTGTTGATGGCGAAGGGCGCCCTTTCACAACCTTTGCAGGCTTCTGGGACAGGTGCCTTAACATGCCTTATGATCCAGAGGCTCCACTTCTCCCTCCTAAACGGGTCATTTCTGGTGTGTGTTTTCCTCATTACTCTTTTATGGCTCTGTTAAGTGAATTGAGCATTTGTGATTATATATGTTTGGTCTGTGCTTCTGCTTTTGAGCGAGGGTCGGTTGAAAATAGTCTCTCTACTTCCAAGTCGAGGTAAAGTCAATGTCCACACACCCTCCCCGAGATCTTACTCTTTTTTTGTGGGAATTTAATGGATTTGTTTTCATTATTGTAAATGTTTGGTGCAACATAATAGGGGGTGAAAGGGTAAGTAAAATTCCCGCCTAGACTTAAAGCACAAAGCTACGTTTGCTTACGTTGAATGAATATGGACATACGCCATGTCTACGTCCATTCATTTTATAATGTATAGAGAAAGTCATATAATGCTCAATCAAAAATGAACTGAGAGAGATGCATTTTTCCTCGTAGATTCTATCTTCCTTTGATCCCGACTTGCCTAGCATTTTTTATAAAATGGATTTAATGCTATTGTATCAACCTCTTTGTTTCATAGTAGGGGTAAGGTCTACATGTACACGCCCTCTCCAGACCCTACTTTTGTGGGGTTGTATGGTATTTGTTGTTATATTTAATGCTCCAAAGTGTATTCTAGGTGATGTCTCGAGATGTCCTTCGGAAAACTTGGTATTTGAAGATGAGTCCGAGAAAGGAAGCAACGCTCTTCTTGCGCGAGCATGGTCGCCAGGGTGGAGGAATGCTGACAAGGCACTAACAGTATTCCTAAACGGGGCATTGATCGAGTACTCAAAGAACCGAAGGAAAGCCGACAGCGCAACAACCTCGTTTCTCTCCCCACATTTGCACTTTGGGGAAGTGAGTGTCCGAAAGGTGTTCCACCTCGTCCGCATGAAACAAGTCCTATGGAGGAACGAAGGAAACCGAGGGGGAGAAGAGAGCGTTAACCTGTTCCTCGAGTCTATAGGGTTGCGAGAGTACTCAAGGTATATGAGCTTTAACCATCCCTATAGCCATGAAAGGCCACTTCTAGGACATTTGAGGCACTTCCCTTGGGTGATCAGCGAGGAGTACTTTAAGGCGTGGAGGCAAGGGAGGACGGGGTACCCTTTGGTGGACGCGGGCATGAGGGAAATATGGGCCACCGGGTGGTTACATGACCGGATACGGGTTGTGGTGTCTAGTTTCTTTGTCAAGGTGTTGCAGCTCCCATGGAGATGGGGAATGAAGTACTTCTGGGATACCCTTTTGGATGCAGATCTTGAGAGTGATGCTCTTGGTTGGCAATATATCTCCGGTTCCCTTCCCGATGGACGCGAATTGGACCGCATTGATAATCCCCAGGTTTGGTCCATTTCACACACACACGTACATACATACACACACTGTCACACTCCCTCCCTCAGAAAGATTTTTCTATTATAGGTTACGATGTTTGAACGAAATTATTTTCAAAAGTTATATATCCCGGAGTATATAAAAACTAGTATATCACAAAATTTATACAAAACAAAATGTGACAAAACTACATTATTTTATAAATAGAGAACTGGTCAATGTTTGACCATGTTATTCGCAGGAAATTCTTTTTGATATATAGAGCATATATGATCAGCTAGCTTGCTTGCTTATTTGGAGCTTATAGATACATTTTTAAGTTCTTTAGGAATAAAAGTGTTGAAATTGAGTGTGATGCTTTGGCAGTTTGAAGGTTACAAATGCGACCCTAATGGGGAGTACGTGCGCCGTTGGCTTCCAGAACTTTCCAGGCTTCCCACGGAGTGGATACACCACCCGTGGGACGCCCCGGAATCCGTTCTGCAAGCAGCGGGCATCGAGCTCGGATCCAATTACCCCCTCCCGCTCGTCGGGATTGACGCTGCAAATACCCGACTGCAAGAGGCGGTGGCGACAATGTGGCAGCTTGAAGCCGCCTCGAGGGCAGCGGTCGAAAACGGCGTGGAGGAGGGACACGGCGACTCCGCCGAGTTCTCCCCCATTGCCTTCCCTCAAGACATGATGCATATGGAGACAACCGCCGAACCGCCGCCGCCAAGGAACAACAACAACAACCAGGCGGCGACTGCAACCTTAGTCGTCGGTGATTACACGGACCAGATGGTCCCCAGCATGACGTCTCTATCCCGAGATAGCTCAATGCATCTCGGGAATCGAGACGAGGACAACAGAGCAGAAGTCCCGAGAAACGACAACCGGACAGGCCAAAGGCGCCCCATGCCGCCGCCGCCGCCAACGCAACACCAGTGGAGGGATACCGAGGACTCCTCCACGGCCGATTCTTCCAACAGCAGCCGTGGCGTCGTTCCCGTGTGGTCCCCTCCTAGCAACAATTACTCGGGGGGCGACGACACGGGCGCGGGCCCTTCTTTTCTGCAGAGGCCACTCCAGCTTTTGAACAACTGGCAACGGCTGTCTCAGACAGGGTGATGTATGAAGAAGATTGTAATGCCAAGATGATTTGTTTAGTTAATCTTGATGATGAAGAGAATTATCCGAAAGCAGTGGTATATTATTCTACTAATATCTTGAAAATTTGAAATTCATCAAAAAATGGATGTGTAATAATTTCATGTTTTTGAATGAACGTAGCAGGTATATACCATGCATATAAACTAATGTTGATTAATGTTTGTAGTTTGTGCCTTTTCGTTACTTAAAAGTATTATTTTCAAGGTGTTATTGTATCCAAACTCGACCTAGTACTAATTTGGGTTTAATTTATATGGCTTGGATTATTTGGATATTTTTAGTATAATATTCGAATTTTTGTCGGGCGGGAACGACAAAGGCCGAATGAAGAGGTGCTGAATGCGACACGAAACTGAAAATTTGTGAGACAACAAGGTTGCGAGTGTCAATGGAGAACGATAATTGTTTTTTTACTGATTTAGAGTACGTGAAAGATTTGTTTGCACAGCTTTCAATTGGTGATTTTCGCTGCGTCCCAACGAACTTACATAAATGACTAAATGAGTATGTTTAACTGAGACATATGGGCCTTTTGCAGAATAAACATCGCACTGCGTTGTTCGCAATAAAAAATATGTGAAAATGAACAATCTACTAGTCCAAAATAATCACTTTTTAGATGTACGTAGAGCACTGCATATTTGGTTGTACCGTATATGCTCTCCAAAATAAGTGACGGTCAAAATCCTGTTATACCAGTTCAATCACACAGGGCCCCATAAAGTGAGAGGCCCCAAATTTTTTTCTTCAAAAAATTGTAAATATTAAGTCAATATTAGTTTAGTCCAAATTAGTCCACCGCCTTTTGTAATTAGTGTTTCTCACTTGTCGAACCACTCATGAGAAATTTAAAGCGATTGTTTAAACAACAAGGGTCTCATGTCATTGGATGACTCGGGGGCGTTCCGATTTCCCGTTCGTAAAATTGACGATTCCTGTCTCCCCTAACCTTCCGGTAAACCCCCCGCCCCGACCCGAATACACTCCTCACTCTTCTCAATTGCACCCCACAAGTTGATTTTGACTTTAGAGTCAAATTTTGATAGTAGGGTTGGACTTGTTTAAAAAATTGGCAAGATATTGTAAAAAGATACAAATGGGCCTCATCTTTTGAGGCTACGTGTAGTCTTCACTCGGCCCACCCGAAAAGTGTACCATTTGCACAATTGCAACTTCAATTTGCTTATTGGATTGGATCCGCTACGGATTATGGCGATCGATTAAACTCGGCCCACAACAAAAGCAAGCCCTAAATCTCACCCTATAAATATGCCCATATGGCCGCTCCGATACGAGAGATGACTCGTCTTCTTCTTCGGGCGTGATTTGCAGGTTTATTTATTTATACGAATATCATATGTCTATTTCTTCAGGCCTCTTCTTTCAGCTTCAAGGGCAGAAATCTCTTGTTGGCTTTGTTCTGGGGGCGTATACTAATTCGGGCAACTTGGGGGGCCGCCGTGCAAATTCCGGATTTTATTCCTCATATTTTACTGGTTCACCCTCATTTGCCCACAATTTTTCATTTACATGATAAATAATCGACTCCCATAGTCCCATCTGCACATAACTCAGATTCATTTACATGATTGCCGATTTTATTTCTTTCAATTACGGGGTTTGTACTTCCCAATCTGAAGAACCGTTTTTTACCGAGAACCCTAGGAGAAGAATCTGAAGATGAAGGTAATTATTTGAAGGTTGAACGAATGGAGTGAAATCGAAATAGAAACAAAAGTAGATCTGAATAAGCTTTGTTTTCAAAATTGGACTAATACTTGGGAAGGAGGGAGTGTACTTTTTTTTTCATTAACAATCATTCTCCAATGGGGAGGTAAATAAAGGAGTATTATACCTTTTTCAATTTAGAAAATGTATCTTTATCTTCTTCATTTAGGTAGGTATATATCAATTTTTCTCACCGTTTAAATTTATTTCATCGGTTATGTTAATTATTCTATTTTTGCTTGAATGTATTATTATAATTTTTTAATTTGTGTTTTTGTAATTGTAAAATTTAATGAGTCAAGAACTAACAAAAAAGAATACTTTATATCCTCTTTTGTTTCAAAAAACTTATAATGTAATTTTTTACATGTAATTTTAATTTCTTTGATTTCATCCAATTTTAAATAAATTAAATTAAATTACAAATAATTCAATCAAACATCTTAAACTAAATGAGACTATAAATTAGGCAGAGAAGAAGATGACAACATACATTTAAAAATTGATATTATTGCTTGGAGTGTTTACGCGCAAAACACTATATATTAAATAAACTCTCTCCATGCAAAGTACAAATATATTCGGTTCGAGTAATATTTTATGATCAAAATATCATCACATTGGGACTATGAAAAGTCTAAAATAAAGAATCTTTTGCCAGAAAATGAGTATAACTGTGAAGAAATCACTCTAGATAAGACAATATAGAAAAATACAAAAATAAAAGTTTAATATTTTTATATACAAAATAGCAATTCGCACGTGGTGGTTGACACTCTACATTTGCACATTACTATATTTTTTGATAATGTACATGATCATGTTTAGTAATATAAATACATTTTAACTTCTATTTTGGAAATAAAAAATGAAAGTCTTATTTTGGTATATTTCTAATATTTTATTCCTACTTCAGTATTTTTTCTATATTACTGGATGTCAATTTTTCATTCTAAACTTAATTATGCCAGCACACAAAAACAGTATCCAGTATAATGGGGCAAAACTAATTACGGAGTACATCTTACTATCATAAAGAATCAAAATATGTGAGTCAACATCGAATGAGCAATACTCTGCATATTATCATTTTTGTTCTGAAACAAACTATGATGGGTCTTGAATTGCATAACCCTACACTATTTATAATGGATGTTTTTAGGCGGGAAGTTCTCCTAATGGTATATATATAAACTATAAAGACTAATAGCGATAACTTGAATATGCGGAAATTTTCCCAAAAAAAGTTTATGTAGTAAAATAAAAAATAACTTGGCAGCACCAATGCTTCAGACAAATAGTCCCACAATTTCTCCTTGTTTCTACATAATTGTGACCAATCAATGCTTCCTTCGAGCAAGCACGCAAGCTAGCACTATATATCTACACAAAATAGTACATATCCCAAACATCACTTAAAAGGTTATCATTAAAGTAGAAAGAACATGAGTTCATTAAAGGTTATCCCAAACATCACCTAAGCTCCATAGTTCTTTAGTTGCTCAGACTGTTTTTCGTGAAGAAACATGCATTATTTTTTCAGCTTCTTCGAAAGAGAGTGAATGACACATAACCCTGTGTACATATGAAAATATTTCACATTTTGACCATAAAATTAAAACAAAAACCAGTTTGAAGACAACAATATGCATGTACTGCTATTTAGGACATCTTAGAATCATGATCAATTTATGATTTTCATTATAAGTGTTTTACAAAACTCATAGTAGGAGATTAGGCCTTCAAAACTACAAAAGCCATCAATGGCTTATTTAAATCAGACAATAAAACAATTTATGCTGCATTGATATTACCCACATAAACAAACATGGATATTCAAACTCCCATTCTAAAAATTAGTCTCATCATTTTCTTCCCAAACTGAAAATCAATATTCTTCAATTAACCAATCGAATAATCTAATAAACTTCAACCTACAAATTTGACATATTGATGTCACTTCTAAAACAAAAAAGATAATTACCAAAAGAGTTCAGGAATGAAGTAATGAATTTGCACACTATTTGGCTTCACTCTATAGTTCAAGACAACATGAATCAAGAACTGAACAATGAAGGAAAATGAACCTCTAACATAATCGAACCCAAATTTAGTTAACATTAATCCTAATTTGTAAAATAATACTCTGTATTTTTATGTATATATGAATTGCATAAAATGAAATAGAATGAAGAAGAAGAAGACCTGTTGGTTTGCGGCCTTGCTCTCAGCTCAATACTCGAGGTAGTGTTGCTAGCTCAACCACCCCAATCGCCACTATAACCCTAGTTCGGCCAGCCACCATCATTGCCACAATGGAGTTCGATCAAAGTCCCATATGTGTGCAAGGTCTGTCCATATTGCAAAGAATGAATTCTGTGAACATTTGCTGTATATGAAACAGAGAAAGAAGTATCAATTCTAGAGGCACCACCGATGAAGAAAACCAATAGGCCAAGCTAGAATCAGTTCTGAGTCACGGTGAGTTTTTAATATAGAGTATTCTATAGTGAGATTGGTAGAAGTTTGAGGTGCAACGATTTTTAATATGCTCTACAAACATCCAGATTTAAGGAAGGAAATTTTTTTGATGTTTTTGTAAGGAAGTAGATAACATGTCAGTCAAGGATCCCATCTCATGTAGCTTTTTATAAGCAGCCAAACAAATTGCCTAGAGATAGCATAGTAAGTGTATATTGAGTAATCTCAAAGTCATGTAAAAATCACTAAATAATTAAAAGTAGGAAGCAATAATAGCACTCACTAATTTAAAGTTAATTAAGCTACCTCTGTACACTACATTACCCACCGATGCACTATATGTTGATAGTCAATCATAGATACACATTTGCAGTCCTTTGGAGCACTTGATGAGAAAAGTAGCATGCTGCACCATTTTTTGCTTCAATTATTAATTACACACTGAGAAACCATATATAGAAGCAAGTGCTTGTGAAGGTCAACTTTAAAAAACATAGCACTTTAGATTTTTTCCCTCGATAAACATAATCTAGGTTCCAAATGTGTGGGGAGGCAACAGCACACGTACACTTTTGGATGTTTCTTCAACCTAAGAATGGCTTTCACCCACCTAGACCTTTTATTTTTTCTCCATTGAAAAGTTGTATAAAAAGTTGTCAAACTTCCACACATATTAAAATCCCAACACTATTCTTACACAATATATCGATGAAATAAATATGAAATCTTGTTTACTTTAGAGAGGAATCAAAGCATTACCAGAAAATTAAAGAAATTGATATTGAAATTGAGATGATGAGTGACATCCACCCTCTCTCTAGTGCAAATTCCTTCGTCTCTTCTTCTAAATCCAGAAATGCTCTCTAGATCGAGCAATCCAAATCAGAAAGCAGATGGTAGGGGAGGAGAGTTCGTTGGTGACTGGGCTAGGGTTTGGAAACCCAGCCCCCTACCATGGATTTTGGAGAGTTGTGAGCATTGTTCTCGATTGCGCGTTACGGAGGAAAGAAAACGGAAACAGTGAGGAATTGTGCGGTGAGATCATGGCTTTGTTCTTCTTAATATGCGAGAGATCTGCTTAATCCAGGATCGTGGCATCATGCGTTGACTGTCGGTTGCTGGTCTCTACTGAAACTACTCCCGCCCAAGAATTCCTGCTGCTTTTGTATATAGTAGGGATTTTTAAGTTTTTTCTATTTGAATATTTATAATTGTACTTGTGCAATTAGATATAACATATATTTAATTATTTCAAAACTGACATTTTAATTTTTTTCAATAAATTAGTTGTATTTTTATAAAATCTTTAAATTAAAAAAATTAATCAAGAAGAAACAAAAGCAACAAACTTCAAATTTACCTCTCCATGATTTTTTTAAGAATGTATATTTTCTTTTCTAATAATTGAAATTTGGTTTAAGAATGTAAATCAACTAATTTTTTCTTAATAAGGTTTTTTTTCTCTTTCGCTTTTTGATTTATCTTCTCCCATTAGAGTTGTATTTTTTTTTAGAAAGGTAAACTTGATCACTTAGAGAACTAAATGAGATATATACCTTTCTAAAATACCTCTCACCATTGGAGTTGCTGGTAACAAAAAAGTATACTCCCTTCGTCCTTAATTTGATTACAAATTGCGGGTTACGGAGTAAAATTTCCTACTTTTTGAAATTATTTTATTTACAAATTGGTTTATCAATAAGTTATAAAAATTACATATTAAAAAACTAAATTAGAAGTTCTACTCCTTCCGTTCCACAAAACCCTTCCTCTTTCATTTTTTTGCTTTCCACAAAACACTTCCAGTTTCTATTAAAAAACAACTTTTACCCCTACTTTTTCATATCATACCTATCACATCATACTTTTTCACTAATAATCAAACTATCTCATCTTACTTTTTCCCATCACATCAGGGGTAAAATTGGAAAGTCAATAAAAATTACACTTTCCTTATTTTTCGCCAAAGTCAAAACCGGAAGGGTTTTGTGGAACGGATGGAGTACAAAATAAGAGGTGACAAGAATATTTTATTTTATCAAATATTTGATGAAATTGCGTAAACAAGTAAAAGTTATCAAGAGGAGAGAAAAAAAAATTACTCCGTATAATCTATTGAAGGACGGAGGGAGTATATAATAAAAACTAAAATATTAGGGGTACATTGTACCCGGGGAAATAAAAATTAAAAAAGAAATTAAAGATGAAGATGTATAGTTGAAACTTGAAGTATTTTTTCTGGAGCTTGCTGAGAAATCATATCTTTCTCGCGTTCCCTTTCAAGAAAGGAAGGATCTTGAGAACTTGCTCATTTTTTTGTTTTGAATATTTTTTTGATTTTGATAAATCAATCTAGAATATTTCGAATTCTCTTTCTGAAGGGACTCAAAAAGGTTTTTTTTGGAGAGTATTAATGTAAATTTTTGTTTTACAAAAAAATTAGAATAAAATAAAATAGAATATTTTACATGAGAAAATTTCTAAAAAAAACTGTGAAATATAGAAAATGTGGGATTGGGGAACAAAAGGCAAATGTGTGATATTTTTATGAAACTAAAGGATTATTTGGCAATTTCTGAATTGATAAGTGCTGAACCAGTAAGAGATCTGAACCATTAAATGTTGAATCAGTAAGAGGTCTGAACCATTAAGAGATAGTATATTGCTTAACTATTCAGATGCAAATGTCTGATCAGATAAGAGGTCTTAACCATTTAGACTCTGTATAATACTTAACCATTCAGACATCTGAACAATTAAGAGGCTGAAACAAACAATCTGAACCATTAAGTGCTGAACCATTCAGACATCTGAACCATTAAGAGGTTGAAACAAACAGACCTTAAATGATTATATATTATTTACTTTTCCACTAATAAATAAATCTTTTCTGTCATAAAATCTTTTCTCTCTATAAAAGTTTTCTTAGTCACAAATTCTTTATTTTTAAAAAAAATTAGTACAGTATATTCTTCATAATGTTTTTAAATGAAACGAGTGAGTACTATTCTATTCGTGTCACTATTTTTTGACATGAAATAGTGACATATAAATTAAGAAGTACCTCATCTCACGTATTAAAATTTTTGCTTTTATTTTTGTGGAGTTAATGGAAAAAATAAAACCATAGTTTGATGGTAATTTAAAGGTAGAGATATAATATGAATGATTCAATTTTGAGTTTAAAACTTTAAATGAAGTGTGAAACTTATATTAGAACACACCAAAAAAAGTAAGTAATATAATTATTTTATGACGGAGAGAACAAAAAATAAAATAAATATTGCCCCCTTAGTGGACACAAATATTTTGACCTTAAATCTCGAATCATATTATGACTCAAGACACATACGATATTTTGTTAATAAATTTGATGGCATTTATTTCTAACCCACCAAATGGTTGATATGGGCAATCAATTGATGATTTAGAGGGGAGGGACTAGGTGCAAGATGAAAAGAAGAGATTAAGGGCCCGTTTGGTATACGGAATTGATGGAATTGGAATTGAAATTTCATGGGATTCAATTTCATAGAATTGAATTCACTAATTCCATTTTATTTTTTGTACTGTCAATTTCAAATCCACATAATTTTTTGTGCTACCAAACAGTGGAATTGAAATTGAAATCCCCAATTCCAATTCCATAGTTTGAATTCTGTTTACCAAACGAGGCCTAAGAGAAATACTCTCTCCGTCCTAAAACTTTCTTCCCAGAGTACTATTCCAACTTCACGAGAATTTATATTTATTTGTGTTTTTTCATGGCCTATATGATAAAATAAAATATTCTTGTCACTACTTGTTTTGTTGAACTTTTGATGTAGTTTTTAAATATGTATGTTTTATTTTTTATTTCTATACCAATATTTAAATAAAATAGATTGAAAAAACTTGGGATTTTTCTTCGTTATGAGAACGGGAAGAAAGTTTTAGGACGGACGGAGTATGACTTACCAATTTTATCAATGGAGTAACGTAGATGTCCAAGTCATTATATAATCCAACGTTTTAAGTTTAAAAGAATCATTTTGTTTTTTATATAAATTACAATTTGAGTATATATGTTTATAATATATTTATAATATATGTATATGTTAAAAACCATAATCCATATTTATTTTTAAATATATATATATATATATTACAAGAAACTGAAAAAAGTAAAAAAGAATTACTCCAATGAGTTACTACTTCCATCATAAATAGACTACCACATTTTGACTATTTGATCGTGAATTATGAAAAAATATATATAGTTATAATGTAAATTTTTAAAAAATTAGGCAACCTTTAAAATATAATTTTTATATTTCAAATTTTATAACATTTAATTATTTAGAATTATATTTAATTTATAATTAAAATCTTACACACACTAATAATTTTTTTGAGACGAAAAGAATAAAAAATATTCTAAAAATATGGATAAAATTACGCCAACACATCTTCTACCGTCGCAAATCGCCGTTCTTCCATTTTCTCAATCAGGGTTTGTTTTCTCTTTTTCTACCCTTATTCAGTTTTCGCTGCTTCAGATCACTAAGCAAGAGGACGAGCCGTCTTGAGCGCGGTGAGAATAAATCTTCAACTGAGCTCCGAAATAGCTTTCACTATTGATATACTTAGTCTTTCGCAGCACCTTCCATTTGATTCGATCCAGTGTAAATTCTGAAGTTCTTATATCCTCATCTATTTCATGGCCATGTGCGGGACATTACATTTGTTTGATTTCATTTTTCCAGATTATCTTCATTTCCCAGTAGAGCTTGATTTGTTTATTCCCTATCCCGCAATTGGAGTTTTTCTACTCACACTTTATACTCCGAGTGAATGATGGTGGTATGATGCTTTAGTTATGCTTCAGATCCTTCTATTTTTTTTAATTTATTTTTTGGATTAGTTTGAGTTCGTGAAATCTCTAATGCCATATTCGACAGGGTCACAAACTTCTCAAAGATGAAGCTACCGAAGAAAAGGGTGAGAGAGCAAGAATGGTAAGATGTTTGTGTTTTATTTACTTTTGAAGAAAATATATAGGAAGATAGTGTGGAATAGTGATTTTTAAAGTAAAAATAGATTATGATAATATGAAGTAATTTTCTGTACCTTATGACTAGAGAAAAATATGAAGTTATAGCAATAACAATAATAATATTAATATTAGTAATATTAATATTAATCTGTTTATCTAACACCAAGCTTCATTGGATGTATTGTTGAGTTCAGGCTTCCTTTGTGGGGGCAATGGCAATTGCCGACTTAGTGAAGACAACACTAGGGCCAAAGGGGATGGTAAGATATGTCTCCTAACTGTTTGGCCAGCTTATTAAGTTTTTGCATGTGTTCGAGTATTGCTTTAAGGCTTGGAATCTTTGTTTTCTCAACAGGATAAAATTCTACAGTCAACTGGAAGGGGTCATAGTGTCACGGTTACAAATGATGGTGCTACAATCCTCAAGTCCATTCATATAGACAATCCTGCAGCTAAAGTTCTTGTTGGTATCCTTTGTATTGTTCAATTGTTAAAGTCATCAGCGATGATTAACAAATCGCAGTGGACCCTTAAGCTTCTTTTTGCTTCACTAGTAACTGTTTGGACTTTGGATAGTGGAGATCCACTAGGAATGTTTTACAATTAATGGGTGGTTTAATCAATTATGGGAAAATAATAGAAGTAAGCAATTTACCTTATCAATGTTGTTGAATCTTAACACCCGTGTCAGACATCTCTAAGGTCCAAGATGATGAAGTAGGGGATGGTACTACATCAGTAGTTGTTTTGGCTGGTGAACTTTTAAAGGAAGCAGAGAAGCTAGTAAACTCAAAGATTCATCCAATGACAATTATTTCAGGTTTGTTTCATATCAAGTAATATTCATAGTTTCATATGTTCAGGACCTTTGGCTCATTATGTAATGCCAACACTCAACACTCTCACACTCATGTGCTATGTCTAGTTGACCATTGTGCTTTGATTTTATGGGATGTGTGTTTCTGTTGTAACCAGTAACCCCTTCAATTATGCTTTTGTTTTTGACCTTAGGGTTCCGCATGGCTGCTGAATGTGCACGCAATGCATTGTTAGAAAAGGTTGTCGACAACAAACATGATGCAGGTATGTATGATGCAGGTCATGTTATCATTCAAATAATGAAAAATATTTAGGCCATTGCTTTATAAATCGTGTCTTGTTTGAAATCATTGTGGCATACCTCATATAAATATCATAAACCTGACTAGAGTTAATAGGATTGCAATGAAGAGGGTGTTATATCATATTTTGTTGTTTTGATGCTGTTGTGTACTTTTGTCTATTTTCATGACTGTTTTTTTGTGATACTTTGGGGAAATGTAGAGAAATTCAGGCTGGACTTGATGAAAATTGCAATGACTACGTTAAGTTCCAAGATTTTGTCTCAAGACAAGGAGCATTTTGCCACGTTGGCTGTTGATGCTGTCATGAGGTTGAAGGTATATTGCATCTTTTTTTTAATATTCTTATTAAGTTGTGAGATTTTTGTTGCTCAATTTCAATCGCAGCATCCTACCTGTCCCGTAAGACCCACATCTCATATCAAGTTTTTTTCTGTTGATGAAATGATTATTTATGTGTAAGATTTAATTTTAGTTAGTTATTTTTTTATGCAATAGGTACATAGCCTTTTTCTCTCCTATCCTTTAATGCTTCCCGTTGGTACCATTTGTTTATCGTTTATCGGTTTATGTCATATTTGATTATCTGTTGATTTTGCTGCAAGTTAGTGTTATTATAAATTTCAATGTGTTGCCTGTTTGATTTATGTGTTTGATTTGTGTGTTTGATATGGCAGGGTAGCACCAATCTTGAGTCAATCCAGATTATTAAGAAGCCCGGAGGTTCACTTAAAGACTCATTCCTAGATGAGGGGTGAGCAACCTAAGATTATTCGTCATCATTGGTGAATGGGTGATATTGTTGTTTGCATGCACTTTAGCTGATATGGTTTTTATATGGATCAATCGTATTTTAGTACTGCTAACTATTTGCAAGTGAACTCTTGATTCAATAACAGTCAAGATTTATCTGCATAGCCGTGAAATCTTTGGTGGTCTTTGTCTGTCTAAATGAATATTCTTTTGTCCTGTCTCTTTAGCCATTCTGCAAAAAATTAGGCCTCCTTTGGTTAAAATACGGTATCCATGTTTTAATTAAGACCGAGATTGAGAAGGCATTGATTTAAGTATGATAGGTTGAAGTTGAGTATTTTATTTGTATGGAGGAATAACATTAGGATGTGTCTCCTATGAAGATGGAGGCATAGCTGCTTTAGGCTAAGCCCTAGTGGTTGTCTTCTTACTGTCATCAACATAGCCTTCAAGCATCCCCTGATATGTTGATATGCTCATTAGTTGCATAATTTGGATTAGTTTTTTTAACTTAGCATAAACCCGTTCTAACTAAAGGCGTTGCATGTAGGTTTATTCTGGACAAAAAAATTGGAGTTGGTCAGCCTAAACGAATCGAGAATGCAAAGATCTTGGTGGCTAATACTGCAATGGATACTGATAAAGTAAAGATTTACGGTGCACGTGTTCGCGTTGACTCAATGGCTAAAGTTGCTGATCTCGAAACAGCTGAAAAGAACAAAATGAGAGAGAAGGTGGAAAAGGTTATTGGTCATGGAATCAACTGTTTTGTAAACAGACAACTGATATATAATTTTCCAGAAGAACTTTTTGCCGATGCTGGGATTCTTGCTATAGAACATGCTGATTTTGATGGTATTGAGCGCCTTGCATTGGTCACTGGTGGTGAGATTGCATCAACATTTGACAATCCAGAATCAGTTAAACTTGGCCACTGCAAACTTATTGAGGAAATCATGATTGGCGAGGATAAGCTAATTCATTTTTCTGGGGTTGAAATGGGCCAGGCATGTACAATTGTCTTGAGAGGTGCAAGGTACATAACTGTAAACCCTCCACAGTTTTATTCCATCTATATGCATAACTCCTCCTTTTTGTATCACATGTCATCCTTTAGAAGGATTTAACGATCCTTTTAATGAAAACATAGTTTTTCATATCTATGAAACATTAATCCCTTTTTTGAATTGTTTGCTCATAACTGTTCAGTCCATGTTTATTTTAAAAAAAAGTTTTCACTTGTCTGTCGCAATAAATAGAGATAAAAATGGATTAGATTATCACAGTCTCTTCATTCCAAATATTTTTTTAAGGTTACTATGTATGCCTAAAGAAACTAGAGGTGCTTTTATGACATTATAACATTCTTCTTCCCTATTGTCCTACACAGCCCTCATGTTCTGGATGAAGCTGAAAGATCCCTGCACGACGCCTTGTGCGTTCTGTCACAAACGGTGAATGATAGTCGGGTATTGCTTGGTGGTGGATGGCCGGAAATGGTGATGTCAAAGGCAGTAGATGAATTGGCTAAAAAGACTCCCGGGAAAAGATCTCTTGCCATTGAAGCTTTCTCACGGGCACTTTTGGCCATTCCAACAATCATTGCTGACAATGCTGGTTTGGACAGTGCAGAACTTGTTGCACAGCTTCGAGCTGCACATCACAGAGATGGGTGCACTTCCGGGATTGATGTCATCACCGGAACTGTGAGTAACTTTCATTTTTTTAAAATGCATTGTGTCAAACAATTTTTCTTCACAAACAAGATGCAGCTATTCTGTGGAAACTGAAATGGTCACTAGCACACTGGCAGTCTATTACTCACCTTTAGATAGATGATAAAATTTTGGATAATAGCCTGCTAATATCTACCCACAGTCTCAAAAGTAATCCTCTTTCGAAATTCTTTGTCCCCAAAAACATTTTTTTTGTTACAACAACCTTGTAAGTTTTGATGAGGTTGTTTTCGAAAGATAACCAGTTCAAGAAACTCTACAAAAAAAGCTAGATTCTTAACTAATGAAGCTTATTTTCCATTGAAGTTAAGTTCTCCAAAAAGATTTGATTAGGCTGGCATATGATAATGTAATAAATTAAGATAAACAAATGATAAACTTCATAAAGTGGGTAGGATTTATGCTTTACAGAGGTTTTTCATTACCAAAAATAGATGTTCCTTAGCCATGTAGGACATTCTTTTTTGGGAGGGAGGTAGTAATAATAATAGTATTATCAATCCTAAATTCTAAAGGCTATATCAAGATTATCAACAGTTTTAAATCTAATTCTACACCTATCTACTTTAAAGAATGGAAGAGTATCATAGCCAACAAAACCTAACACTACGTTTGGTTCTAGGAATTTGGAAGGAAAACGATGATTCTCTTGTATTCTTCACCAAAGCGGGAGGAATTTGGTTTTCCCTCCCCGTTGTACATTTTGTCATCTCATTTTCTTTTCCTTCCACTTTTTCTCTCTAGCCAAACAAGAAAAACTGTTTTTTCACTTCATTTTCTTTTTTGAACCAAACATATTGTTAGTTTCACATGCCCTCCCATTTAACTCCCCACACTTGTTGGCAGGTTGGTGATATGGCCGAGCTGGGCATATCCGAGGCATTCAAAGTCAAGCAAGCTGTACTGCTCTCAGCAACCGAAGCTTCAGAGATGATTCTACGGGTGGACGAAATTATCACATGCGCACCTCGCCGTAGGGAAGACCGAATGTGAGTGGTCACAACTGGGAAATGCCTCTTCTGCTTTTTTTCTTCTGTTGAGTCAGTTTTGTACTTTGTCTCTCGTCGTCTTGTATCAGCCTGCGACGTTTTATTAGAAGTCTGTGAATTGAATCTTCAAACTCCATTTGCTAGCATCTCCCTTTGGGAACTGTTCCAATGATTTCGTAACTGCCTGATGTGGTTTTCATCAAAATTTTCCCTCCTTAACTCAATATTGTACCTGTAGTTGCTTGATCAGTTCAAGGTCTTGTTTGGCAATATGATTATTTGGTAGAAATTGACTTAATTTGCTGAAATGAAAAGCATGGCAAAATCTATTGGGTTCCATTTGGTACACGGAATTTAAGTTATGGAAATATAATTAGAGACTTTGATTCTAATTCTGCTATTTGGTAGCACAAATATATGCGAATATGAAATTGATAATGAAAAAAATGATTTGGAGTTGGAGAAATCAGTTCAATTTCATAGAATTTTAATTCTAATTTAATTTCAATTCTATCAATTTTGTGTATCGAATGGACTCTTAGTCTTATATGCATATTAGAATATCTTTTATACAGTATTTCTTTGAGATCATAAAAACAAAATGAATATATAAATTTAGAAAAAGGCAATATTATTAATTTTACTTTCTCAAAATTTAAACTATTATTTTATGCTTTTAAATAAATTTCAATTTGAATAAGATACTCGGTTCAAAATAAATTCATATCTTTTAAAAATATTTCAAAATAAATTTCACATTTCTCTCATATCTTATTAAGGAATAAAATACGAGTATTTTTCTCTCAATTTTATTTTTTCCATTAATCAAATTTCTAATAACTTACGGATAAAAAAAACTTACGGATCTATTTAATTCAAAAAAAAAAGAAAGTTAAAAAAAGAATGGAGAACTTTACCTTATTTTCTAAAAGAAGGGAGCGTTAAACGGTAAATTACTCCGTAGAACATAAAGTCTTACACTCCTACCGTTGTAATTCCGTTACTGCACGAACCGGCGCGCCTCCGCCCCATAGAGGAAAATGTTAGCCGTCCCGCCGCCACCGTTGCCGCACCTATCCGCCACCTCATCTTATCCCAAATATCCTCTCCGCCGCTTTGTCTGGACGAGACGGGCCGGTCTCGGCTTCTCATACTCCTCCCACCGCACAGCTCCTTTGCCACCGGCGGCAGTACGGGATGAGGATGGCTTTACCAAACACTCCAGTTACGTTTTCCAGCTTAATCCTGCCGAGGAAGAAGCGCTTACAGAGTACGGCATCGAGAAAATCAGTGCGATCTACCAGAACAAGCCGTTCGTTGTGTTGCGACGACTCTTCCAAATAGTGTCTACGCTCGGCAAATGGTTCTCCCTCAGACACGCCGATACAGTTTTCGAACGAGTAGATGAGATGTTCAAGGTAAAGTCTCACTTGATTTCCGAAAAAAATTAGATTGATTAAATTTTTTGTATTTGATTTTTTATGTTGCTAAAAATTAAGAAGTTGTCTATGCTTGAGCTACCTGCAATTTACTCTTTTCTGTACAGATTAGAGCTGAGGAACTGAGGAAGATACTAGTTCAGCTTGGTCCGGTAAATTTTCTGTCACTTTTATTTTTACCTAAAGGTCTTATTTTCTTATCATGTACTCCGTATCTTGTTTGTCCTAAGAATTAAAGGTTATTTTAGTTTTTTATTTCTTTTTTTCTTCTTATTCACCTCTGCGTTATAGTGAGCTCGAGTAAGTCTGTAGAACCTAACTTTCAGGGGATATTTTAAATTAAAATTCATCTGATTTCTTAATTGCTGCATGGAGGAGGTGAGTGTGTGTGAGAGAGGAAACAATGAATAACAACAAGGGAGAGAGTTTTATATACGGTATACCATCAATAGTTGATACACAAACTATGAGCTAACAACAAACTAATATCCAGATAGCTAGCTATATTTACTGCTGTAATCTGCTGATGAGGGTTGTGAAAGGAAAAAGGGTTCATGTGCTTTTTTATGACATAGATTGTAAATAACAAAATATTCTCAATGCTATTTTGCACTTTGATTTGTGTTAAAAAACCAACCAATCCAAAAGTTCAAGCTTGTGGTTGAAGACCCAAGAAAGGTTTTATAATCTAACACGCCTTCACGGGCATACACGATTTTGCACTTTGATTTGTGTTCAGAAATCAACTCAACCAAAAGCTCAAACTTTGTGGTTAAATGCCCAATAAATGTTTTATTCTCTAACACGCTCCTTACATTCAGACATGATGTTTTTGCTAGAGCCATCCATGTGAACAATTTTTTTTAAAGAAGTGGGTGACAACGATATTTGAATACATAACTTCTAGGTCACATATGTTTATAAGGATCCAACTCAAAGATTTGAAAGTGTAGTTCTTAACCTTGTTTAGTATGTTTTACAGGCATATGTTAAAATTGCACAGGCTGTCTCGTCTCGGCCTGTAAGTAATCCTTTCCTCTTCTAGCTTCCTTTCCATGAAATCATACAGAATTTTTGATGCCTTTCCTATGTGTATACTTGTTGATTTACTGCTATAGGACAGTAGTTAAAATAACTTTTATGGGTTCAGAAACAAATATTCGATTGATGATGAAACTTACTCAAAGCTCTGCATGGCAGCTTCACATCTAGATCTTAAGTTGACATTCAGCTATTAATTAATTGTTTCTTTAGGAACGCTTTTTGAAAATATATCTTGGAAGGTTATGGAGTTATGACTTATGATATAACAGAGACTACCTGGACACATGTCACATGACCCAGAGAAATCAGTTTTATTTTAGCCCCCAAAGATCAATTGAATCTTAATGTATCCCTAGAAAATCTAAAATGGAAAAGGAACTATTCATTTTTTTCTGTTACCCCATTGTATATTCAACCCCTCAAACCAATTTCTTATCTTCCACTGCTCTCTAACAGACATTATATTGATTGAGATCACCAAGAGAAATCTGGTATTATGATGTTTTTTCTTCAGTCAAGCTCATTGTTACTTTAGCTTTACAATCATACTGTTTGCTCAACCTCAAAAGGTTTAGCTCCTTTGACGACGTAGCATGTATTCTTGTAAAGAATTCATTAAAATGTGCATCAATTAGCCGCACAAACTCTATTCTTTTGCTTTCTAGGATTTGATTCCCCCTTCATATTTGGATGAGCTCTCTTTGTTACAAGATCAAATAACTCCATTTCCGAATGAAGTTGCTTTTGGTACAATAGAGCAAGAGCTTGGATTGCCATTAGATGTACTTTTCTCTGAGATTTCACCAGAGCCTGTTGCAGCAGCATCACTTGGACAGGTGTGTTCTTTTTTATTATGAATTTATGGGCTTAATGAGGTCCATTTTTAAAAACAAGATTGACTGTTACTTTGTTAGTCTTTCTATCTTATAAGTGATAACAAATGCAAATACTTTTGGAAGGTTTACCAAGCTAGGCTTCGCTCTAATGGGCAAAAAGTTGCCGTCAAAGTGCAAAGGCCAGGAGTTCAAGCTGCAATCTCCTTGGATATTTTGATTTTAAGGTTTCTAGCAGGCCTAGTTAGGAAAGCGGGAAAGTTCAATACTGATCTTCAGGTATTGCTGATTTTTAAAATAAAATTTGCACTTGGGTTTACATGTAGATAAGTTGAAAAAAAAGGTAATTTCTATCTCATTCCATGATGCAAATCTCAAATTATTTGCTTTAGAGATGTAGTACAGTTCCCGTCCTTGAAGGTCACTTTCCATTTATAATGCCAGCCTTTGTTTATAGTAAAATCACTTTTGCTACTTCTATATGCATACACACACGCCACACACACACTCACACAAACTTCACATCTCTTATTCTTCAATTTGCAGGCGGTTGTTGACGAGTGGGCATCAAGCCTTTTTTGGGTATGTAATCATTTCTATGCTATACCCACCCACAGACCTCACTTGTACGATTTTACGCGGTAGCTGCTAGGTTGTTGTTGTATTTGTTTCTTTGCTAGAGTGGCTCACTTGACCTCCATGCCTTGAAGTTGGAAATCAGTTCTATGCTTATATTCATCATTAGTGTTAAGACACTATCTGAAAAGAAGATTCTCAAGTTTCTATTATCCTTGGTGCACATTCTGAAGAAGGGAAGATAGAAAAGCTCAAGCTTTGGTGAAACAACATTGGCCAATAAGTTTTGACTTCAGAACTATTATTTTCCTTAACTAACGCAGTGAATGTATCCTCTTGATTAATGAGCAAAGCTTTTAAAGCGTGATATTTTTTCAATGTTGGATGCATCTTGTTTTTGAAAGATAAATATAAACAGGGTTTGACTACCTCAATGGGAATTACATTGATGTTACCAACTCTTTAATAGGTTAATGACCAGAAAAAATTCTCAAAATTTAAAGTGGGAATCCTAAAATAGGGAGTAACTTATCATACAATTATTTTTTGGGTTTTGCTAAAAGGCAGCCCGTAGGGCTAATAAGAAGAAAAAAGGAGCCCGTCATTGGCCGAAACCATGGACCCCACCCTCATTTAAAACTCATACTCTTTTTCTTCATGGCTCACTCTCTTTTTTCATTTTTTGGGGGTTTTCTAAATGTTAAGGATCTTTATTTATTTGCTAATTTTCTTTATTTGCTAACTCTGGTTAAACAATTTTTCTTTTATTAAGTTCATTTGTTTGGATATGCTTACTTGTCCCGATTCTCATGTCCAATAATCCTCACTCCAACAGAACTATTTATCATTATATCAGAAATGAACATTCTTAGTGCCTGTATATTGAATACAGGCAATCCAATTGAATGCAGGAGATGGATTATAAGAGGGAAGCACATAATGCAGTCAAATTCAGGTAAAAGACTACTGAATTTCTTTATATTTGTTTGCAATTATGCATTGCTTTCAACATACTGTTTTTTTTCCTGATATGTATTTAACACTTATAACTCACATGATATAGACAAGAATCATGTTCTGAGAAAACAACTAGTTCCTTAACTCTCAGCTCAATTTGAATATACAATAACGGTGGACTTTGTATTAATAGAACTATTTTATAGAAGAATATCATATTGAGTGACCAGAATCCATTAGTTGGTTATTGAGGAAAAGAACATGTATATCGTCAATGACCATTTGTTCTGATTACAACCCAGTTGGATCCTACAAGAGTAGGGTCCGAGGCGGGTGTGTGTATGCGGACCTTACCCCTACTCAAAAGTAGGGAGGTTTTTTACAAGAGACCTCCGGCTCATGCAATGCACCACTTGTTCTGATTACCCCTTTGATGTATTTCTTACAACCTTCTAGCATATACTCCATCCATCTCACATTTAAGTTTCATGTTAAGATTATGGGCGTCCTTAAATAAAGTTTCATTCCTTATATGGAAAGAATATCATGGTTAATATTGTTTCACACTTCTCTGCGTAAATCTCAACTTCAGAATTTTACCCTTTCTTAAATCCCGTGGAAAAGCAAATGGAAACTTAAATATGGGGCGTAGGTGGTATTAGACTTTTCTGAGATAGATATATGGCAGATTTAAATTGAGTGACCACAGCTTTCTTGCCTACATTATATGTGTGAATTATTGGGGACTGAGATAAATGGCTTATAATTTGGGTATAAATATGTATCTTTTTCCACTGCTTTGGAAGGTTCGCTTCTATGTTTTACCTGTAGTATTTTGTAATGCTGTTGAAACATTGTTGTTGTTGTGCTGTTGAAACATGATTTCCACCGTAATGAAGTTTAGAGCCTTATTACTTTGGATTCGTGCATTTTTAAGTTGCTGGGAGTACTGCTCCTTTCCTCTAAGATTTCATAATACAGTGTTACCTCAGCCCAAGCTTATACTAAAATGGTTTTTGAAGGGAATATTATCTTCTGAATGTAACTAGATGAGTAAAAGTTGTCATCAATAGAAGCATCATGTCACAAATGATTGTAAGGTTTAAGCTTTCATAATATCAATTTCATGTTCACCCTATCATTTTCTGTTTGCCTATTTCTCAAGCATGTGCATTTGTTTAATATAATTTACCCACATTTTATAATGGCTAGCTGTTGCTTAATTTTTACTTAAACAGGCAGTTGTATGGTGACATTAAAGATGTTGTGGTTCCAGAAATGTATATGTCACAAACTACTCGTAAAGTTCTCACCATGCAATGGGTGGAGGTACTTTCACTTTCTTGCTGCTCTGTTTATGTTTATTGATTTATGATTGTATTTCATATTGAGTGAAAGTAACCAAAGAATGATAAGGTCAGTGCTCTCAGTGCAATTTGAACAATTTATGAGCATTTAGTTTTATATGCAAATATATGTTTCTTCGATTGAAAGACTATTTCGAACGAAATAACCTATGAAGATAGTTAGGCTAAATGCTTGTTTTTGTAGACCATCAATTATCCACATATATTAGTTTGAAACATATACAAACAACTACTCAATCCGGCCCTTAAAAGTGTCAATTTTTTTATAAATTTTGTATGCCCCATAATATCTGTCAAATCTGCTTTGAAATTACTTCACATCCATATTTATTGCATTCTAGAAATTATGTTTTGCATGTTCCAACAATTATCAATAATTAATAGCCTATGAAATTTTTTTACTCCCTCCTGCCCATAGAATTGATGACACTTTGACTTTACGGAGTTTAAAAAAGTTGTTGAAAAGGAAAAAGTGTGGTTAGAATTTGTTTAGAGGAAAGAGGATTGTTGATAGCCATATACTCATTACCAAAATAGGGAACAAAGTAAGTGTAAAGAATTTTATGGGACGTCCAAAAAAGGAAAGTAAAGAATTTTATGGGACTGAGGGAGTATGATTATTCCCTATATTATTTGACGTTCTAACCAATTGTTTTTTGTTTCTAAAAGTTTGTCCATATTAATTCTCCCTACACCAAATGTGTTTTTCCCTTGAAAACAAATGAAATTATTGAATTGTATTTGACATTTAACATGAACAAGGATATAATGGTCATTTTGTTAGCGTTCTTAATATGTTTTGCAATCCTCGACTCCTCGTAAACATCAAACAGTTTGGGATGGAGGGTGTAGTCAACTTGATAATCACCACACTTTATAACTTCTTTTTATTTACTTCGAGTTTTTAAGGCAGTCTTTGAGGACATTATAATAATCATATGGGATTTGCCGGTTTCTTGGTAACCATCCATGGGATTATGTGTCTGTATTTAGTTCCACACACACATTTGACACTTCTATTCACTGCTGCAATGAATGCTCTTGTTTGTCCACTGATTTTGGAAGTTGTATAATGGCTAGAATCTCACAAGCTATCCCTATTATGGCAGTATTTCATAAACCATGCTGATGCTAAACCAGTTATTTTCAGGGGACAAAGCTGGCTGAAATAAAGGATCTTTATTTGATTGAGGTCACATCTGGATCTCATTTGTCATATAAACTCAAAATTTCATATTTAGGTTGCTGTTATAGCTTCTGAACCAGATACCTACTGGCCAAATTTGTATACAGGTTGGGGTGTACTGCTCATTCAATCAACTTTTGGAACATGGATTTTATCATGCAGATCCACATCCTGGAAACTTTCTTCGGACATATGATGGAAAGCTTGCCTACTTAGGTTGTTTCTTCAATTAGTATTCATGAGAAATGAATGCAGTTTTATCATGGTTTAGTGTTGACTACAGTTTTCCGTTTTGGTTTGCACCAAATCAAGAGTGCTTAGTATGGGATGTGTTCATAAGTTGGAATGGTAGGATTCCTAATGCATATACTAGTTTGAAAGCTTCAATTTATCTTTAAAAAGGGCAGGCTGAAATGAGTGTGTTTACCTAATCATGTTCAAATGTTGGCTAGTTTGGAGTATTTGGTTTGCAATGACATCATAGATAGGGTTCCTGGTCTCATTTTCTTTTATTGTTTTATTCATTTGCAAAAACTCTCTACTGATTGTGTATAGATAGGGTTCCTGGTCTCATTTTCTTAACGATTACTGTTTTTAAAACACTAGACTTTGGAATGATGGGGGAATTTAAACAAGAACTTCGCGATGGCTTCTTGGAAGCGTGTCTCCATCTTGTAAATCGTGATTATGATGCACTGGCCAAGGACTTTGTCACTCTTGGGTAATATGGTTACCTCTCTCTTCAGTATCTGGTTAAGAGCGATTATTGCTGTCTGTATCATGTTTTAATGTTGATATTGACAGGCTTCTTCCACCAACAGTAGACAAGGATGCAGCTACAACGGCATTAACAGGTTTTTGCTTATGCATCTGTTTTTGTTAGTCCTATTTTAGCTAATTAGTTTTGCAGAAGAACAGTATCAATGAATTTCAATACAACTACTGAGAATTACATGCTACTAAATCTAGTGCCACCAACCCCAACTAGTTGGTATAAAGGTGCTGATAATAATGATGAGGATCACGTGTAGAGTTTGATTTGTAGCTCTTATTTACTAACTTTTCTCTTCTTAATTTAGGTGTTTTCCGAGATGTTGTTGCAAAAGGAGTTCAGAATATAAGTTTCGGGGATTTTCTCAAAGATTTAGGAATAAACATGTACAATTTCGCACAACTATACTTTAATGAATTTATATTTATAACTAAATTTATACAATCAATTGTCATTATACATTTTATGACAATAACACTGACTACTTGGGAGTCAGGCGCTGATAATGATGATGATATATTTTTCATGCATAATCCAATGAACATGTCACATTTATTCTACCAGTATTCAACATAAATTTGTCAAACTGGAGCTTTTGGACACATAACACAGACACACAGTCTACATTGTGGATGACATCTATTCTCTCAACTCACACACATTAATGGTTTAATGAACACCTTTTTTATATTTCTATCACTGGAGGTTCATGGAAGTGACTCAAACACATACACAGATGAGACCTGATTTTTAATTTTTATTCCAAAACATTGTCAAAAAAAGCATTAAAATATTTTATTTCGCTGATTGAATCTCTCAAACTAGTCAAATTCTGAGTCAATATTATATATCCTTTATTTGCAGGTACAAATTCAAATTCCGCATACCCCCCTATTTTTCTCTAGTAATTCGGAGGTATGCCTCTTATTCGAATTGTGAGCAAGCTAGCAATACACATATTGCATTTGCTATCATCAATGAATTCTTTAACTATTAAAAAATCAACATATTATACAAAACACATATGATATTTTTCTTTTCTCTATTGGTGCTAGGGAGAGTAAAAAAAGTCACTTTAAAAAAATAGCTTTGAGTAAATAATGGACTCAATCGAAATGGCACATTAAACCTCCCGTGCTTCTTACTTTCTATGAAGTTGTGGGCAATAAAAGCATCATGGATATGACGGAAACAACCTCGCTATTTGTATAGGGTAATGTTGCATACATCTTGACCCCACCATCCCCAACAGAGTTAGGATTATAGTGGGTATGTTGTTTGTTTGTTTGTTGGCGTGAGGGGGAGGCGGGAGGGGTTGCAAATCGCAATAGAAAATTCACTCTTCTGTGTTATGCAGCCTTGCTGTTTTGGAAGGGATTGCAATCAGCTACAACCCAAATTACAAAGTTTTAGGTAGTACATACCCTTGGATCGCCAGGAAAGTGCTGACTGACAGCTCATCTAAACTGAAATCTACTCTACAAGCCCTTCTATACAAGGTACATGCATTTCAGACAGATTTTGTGAAAGCAATGTTATCTAACTTTCCACTCATCATAATTCAATTTGCTACCTTTTTATTTAAGGATGGTAAATTCAGGATAGATCGTTTGGAGTCTCTCATATCAGAGGTAAGGCTACACATTTACACATAATTCTATATATTGCAACAACAATGCATTTGTTGCACCTCTACCTTGTCATATCAGACATCTTATTTATATCTGTTTACGACTTTACGGAAAGATTAATGACACACATGCTCTTGTGCATGCTCATCTTTATGTGCTCTAAGCCTTTGTTTTTTCAGCTTGAGGGTGTGGTGTGGTGGGGAGAGAGTAGGGGAGGAAAACGAAAGATTTAAAAAGATTTCATGTTTGCTTCAATGATATAGTGAGGAGGATACGAATATTGTATTTGATACTCCCCTCGTCCCACAAAGAACTTCATTATTTGACTTTATGGAGTTCAAAAAAGTGTTGAAAAGTAAAAATTATGTGGATACAATATATCTTTAGAAGAGATAAGTCTTGTACACCACATATTCCTTACCTTTAAAGGAAAAGGAAAAGTGTGAAGTTTTTTTGGGTCATCCAAATAAGGAGAGTGTGAAGGACTTTGTGGGATGAAGGGATTTTTCTGTCTAATACAAAATGTGGTAATATATATATATAAAAGAGGGCGTTTGGTTCTACTATTGGTGGCTGATTCTGAACTTCCACATTGGAAAGAAGCAATTTGGTAATGTTTGCCCTTGTTTGTGATGCTTGATTCATAGTTTCCGACAAAGACATAGACTAATAGAAGTAGAGGAAATCCCTTCCCCTCCAGGACATCCTTCTCAAACATACTTTAAACACTTTTTCTTAGAGTTCAAATTATATGCTCTTATTTTGAATCCCTCAGAGTTCAGTTATATGTACACATGTGCTAAGAAGTGTTTGTGGAAAGAATATGATGCATAGTGTTTGTTTTATTTGATTTGAATTACAGTCGAAGAATGTGATCCTTTTGCTTTCCGATCATACATGTGCTAAGAAGTGTTTGTGGAAAGAATATGATGCATAGTGTTTGTTTTACTTGATTTGAATTACAGTCGAAGAATGTGATCCTTTTACTTTCCTATCATATGTCCCACTCAACTTGTCAGGCAATTTAGAGATTTACTTGTCTTAAACAGTCCCTCCGTGCCAGGACAGAGAGAACCCTCATTATGGAGCAAAGTGAAATCCATGGATCTAGGTTCTTTATCAAGCAAGTTCTTGCTTTTGTATTGGATACAAAGGTATCATATTTTGTGGTTGCTATGTGCTACTTCTGTTTATTGATTGTTATTTGTCTGGAATTCTATAAAATGCATTATTGAACCATCTGAACCTTTCAGGCTATATTCTTAAGAGAGTTACTTCTTGATGAGCTTGCCAAGGTATGCATTTCTTAGCTATAATGGATAATTTAACTCAAAGACAACTGTAATTCAAACTGGTTTACCTGAAACAGAATTTTCTCTACTCATCATTAGGGGTTGTATGCACTTGGACTTGCAAGTTTTGATTCAGTAACGACTGCTGTGTTAGCAAACCTACCCTTCTCTTCTTCCTATTCATTTTCTTCAATGACAGAAGAAGACAGTGTTAATCTTAGAAATTTGCAGCGACTTGTACTATTTCTACAAGGACTCGATAAAGCACCCGGCATGGTAAGATGCAGAAATATTTACTAAATATAATTAGCTGTCATTTTCGCCAGATTTCAGACTAATATTTGAATTTTCTTGTATATCAGTAAATATAAGTCCCTTTTATTGTACATCAAAAGGGAGTTACAATCCATAAAAAAAGGTCATGAAGTTGAAAGGTAGAAGATGTATTTCAATTGACTACCTAGACGTGTTTTCAGTTTTTACCATGAGTAAGCTCAATTCGTTTTACTTTTTGTATTAGCGAGTTGAATTAAATACGGAGTATGAAAGTTTTAAGGAGACTAAAAAAGTTCCTTGTCGAACAACTAATCAAATCACAAAGTGAAAATACGAGATCCATGCAATTAATTAGTTTATTTTCTGAAATCATTGTTTTTATATTAGTGTTGCTTGTTAGTAGTCACCAGTTGAGGTTTCTTTATGCCTATGTCTTATTGAAAGGCATTTATACGTTTTATCTGCATTAACTTCCACTAACCAATTTAAGGTCCTAATACGATGCATTTTGTCTTGAAGTCTTATGCAACATTGAAATTTAGTGATTCATCATGACTTAATCTTATAGAAGGTTTTTGGCTTCAACTTATACTCTAACCAGGGGAAACCATCAAATGGAGCACCTTTTGCCTTTAGTCAGTTTAGATCTGCTCAGGAACCGCTACGACTTCTTTCTGTCGTCTCTGAGGTAAATATTAAAATGCATAATTTCAAATGACCAATCAGCTAGTTTTTTTTTTAAATATACTCCATTTGGCCCCCAAAGTCACTTCTGATTTTGGAAAAGAATATGTAGCTCAAAATACTTCTCAACAAAAGGATGTGTAGCTACTCTAAATAAATCCTAACCACTCACTATTCAACATTTTTTCAACAATTTTCTTAACTTTTGTGATATCAAAGTGGTAAAACTAGTTTGGGATGGAGGGAGTATAAAAGAACCAGGTCATCAGGGTATGTTTCCTGCTTAATAATTTTTTAGGCCATATTCCTACTCATTAACTTGGACCTTTGCAGTGGCATGGTTACACATTTGTTGTGTGCATGCACATTAGAATCAAATTAGTGTTTGCACCTCATGTTTTGCCCCCAATGTTTTACTTCGCACCGTGTTGGCCTTTCTTCGCACAGCTTATTTTACCCTATTGTTCGACTTCATGGCTCATGTTTTATTTTCTTTGAACATGCACCCTAGAGTTGGGGTGTAAAAATCCAACAAATGGGCTGCAAAATACAATAGAAACCGGGTGCATGTTCAAAGAAAATATAACTTCGAGTACAAAGTCTAAATTGTGGCAAAATGTCAAGTGCAAAGACAAATTTTCACATACTTTCAAGTAGACAGAACAAAACCTATGTAAAAAGTAAGTTGAAAACTGTGGTGTAATACCTAAGTCAAAGTTTTGGCAAACTATGTGCCACCAAAACAGTGCCACAGCCCATACACCAGTCGCTGCTGATGGCAGCCTTGAGGGGTTTCCCAAGCCAGAACTACTCATGAAGAAAAATTGAAATTTTCGACAATCGGATCATTCTTTCATGTTTTTTTGACAATTTTTTTAAAATAATTATTTGGCAGCTCCCACAAGACATGCAACAACAGCTGCTGTTGAGTTTACCAGCGGATTTAGCAGGAAGGGTGGCTTCACGTGTTGTTGCGAGGGCATTGCGTAGGATCTTCCTGTGAAGGATCATAATCCCCATGTTTATGTTATTCTTCATTGTGTGTATCTACGACAAATTTGTGGATTGGCACCCCAGCCTCACTGCACTGTAAGTTGTAAACAAAAAATCGACAAAACTAAGCCAATAGAACTGTGTAATTCATGGAACTGCAAGAGTAAATAGTGGATGATATCAGAATGGTTTGACACATTTAACTTCATTTGCTTATTAAGTTTTGGTGGTAAATGGAGCAATGTATCAAGAACCTGGAAAGAGTGAAACACACTACTCTCTCCGTTCCAGAATAAGGTTCTTGTTCACTATTCACATTATCAAACTATAACTTCTTTCTTTGCATATTTTCTTTGATCATTTGATAAGATAAAATAATCAAATTACCACTTGTTTAATATATTTTTTTCATACTTGTAGTTTTTACATGTGCAATTTTATTTTTTAATGTTACACCAATTTTTAAATATATTGAATTAAAAATAATTTTCGTCAAATATTGTAACCCGAAATTGAAACCTTAGAGACATAGAGTAATAACCAAATGTTTGTGTGTTTTTTATACCATATCCCAATGTGTTTCTAGACTTCTAATACTCTACTACTCCGTATCACACTATGGGGTCGTTACTCTCAAGGTGGTTAAAAAGTCATCAAGACTATGTTTAGCATTAGTTTAGAGTTTTGCTTTGACATTTTGAAAAAGTTATTTGACTGGTTTTTAGCGTTGGTGTTTTCTGCGTCAATTTGCACTATTAAAAAAATATCCTCCCAAGTGTTTGGTTGAGTTGATACTACAAGTTTTAAATTACTTATAAGGGTCTGTATGAGGTGTTTATGAAGGGCATTTATGACAACATAAAAATAAATTGGAGCTTAGAGCATCCACTACCAATCTACCATTCAGTTTCTACTCATTCATCCCTCTCTTGAAAAAACAAGTCATTTGTAGCTTTGAAAAAAATATAAAGACATCTCGTATATACATCAAGAAAAATGGATAAATAACGTTTTTTTTGGTAAAAGAAAGGCAATTGTGAATCCGAAATTTCAAAAATAAAATAAAACAAAATAAATTACAAATACAAAACTTCACCAGTAATCTCTACAAGAGCAAGATCCATCTCTGAACCTGTGAAACCGAGTCCTATCCCTAACAATGATCTCCCTCCCATAGATCTTCGAAACCAGCTTCATCACAACATGACAATCCCCACAAATCCTTATATTCTTGTTCACGCTTATCCTCGTCCCTTCCCCCGTGCTAATCAACGCAAACGCCACAGCCAACTTCTCGCTATGATAGGGCAACACGTTCTCCTTCTCCTCCTCCTCTATGTCATGCAACACGTACTCTGTCTCCGGTGCGTACCCTAATCGGCACATCCCCACCCAAATCTCATCAAGCTTCGCGTGTATGGCGTGCCACTCCGGGTGGTTCTTGTCTCCATTGACAAACTTGTACATTGCGCCATTGATCTCGACATAGCTGAAGCCGGGCACTTTCTTGATGTCCCTGTTCTTCATTGCTTCCCTCACCCTCCGCACCTCTGGCCACTTCTTGTGTACGGCGTAGAGGTTCGAGAGCAGAACGTAGTCCCCACAACTGTTTGATCCCATTTCGATGAGCTTGTTCGCTGCCTTCTCGGCCATGTCTAGAGCCTTGTGAGTCTTACATGCCCCTAGTAGTGTCTGCCACAACACCACGTCTGGTGCCAATGGCATTGACACTACTAGGTCATATGCTTCGCTTAACCGACTGGATCTTCCCAACATGTCTACCATGCAACCGTAATGCTTCACGCTCTTGCTCACTCCGTGTTTCTCCATTGATTCGTAGAGTCTCATGCCTTCCTCCACCATGCCGGCATGGTTACACGCGCAAAGTGCCACAAGGTAGCTCACGCTATCGGGGGTAACACGGGAATGAGACATTTGCTTGAAGAGATCTAGGGCTTTGACTCCTTCGCCGTGCATTGCAAGAGCCATGATCATGGTGTTCCATGTCACTAGAGTCTTTGGGCATGTCATTTCGTCGAACACTTTGTGGGCTCTGTCCAATAACCCACATTTCGCATACATATCAATGACTGCATTGCAGACGGAGGTGTTGGAATCAAGATTCTTGATTCTGATGTAGTCGTGGACCCGTTCGCCTTCTTCGATTGCTCCCAGCTGTGAACAAGCAGATACGGCGCCGAGCACGGTTACATCATTGGGCTCAGTCTTGGCTTCCCTCATCTTCTTGAAAAGCTCCAAGGCTTCCATGGGCCGGTTCCCCTGAGCGAATCCAGCAATCAACACGTTCCAGCAAGCCACATCTCTCAGCTCCATTTCGTCGAACACCTTGCGGGCATGACCCAACTCGCCGCACTTGGCGTACGCGTCGAGCAAGGTCGTGCGGAGTAGGACGTCGGAGCCGAACCCGAAACGGACGACGCCGGAGTGGATCTGGACCGCCTGGAACAGGGCCAACGCGCGGGCGCACGCCTTGAGCGCGAAGGAACACGTGAGCGCGTCGGGCCTGCAATGGGCCCGTAGCATCTGGGCGAAGCCCGCGACGGCGTCGATCGGGCGATCGCTCTGGGCGAGGCCGCGGATGATGGCGTTCCAGTCATTGGTGAGCGGAAAAGGTATGCGCCGGAAGATGAAGGCGGCGTAATGGAGGCTGCCGGCGGAGGAGACGGCGCAGAAGTCGAGGAATTTGGCGCGGGAAGGGTATAATTGGAAAAGTCCGGTGGTTATAAGGTGGGCTTGGAGCTGTTTGATGTGGGAGAAATTGGTGCACTTGGTCAACAACGACTCAACATATGCATATGCCATGCCATTTCGCACCTTATCTTTGTTTTCTTCCCCCCACTAATATACCTTGGAGTAGAAAGGAAAAGGGCAATTAAATCAAACTAGATCTATGAAAAATTAAATGAGATGAGGTGAATGAAAAACACTTTCCTATTGATTTACGTAAATGTTAACACTATCGTTCCCACATTGCACACTAACATTTAGAGTGCCACTACTATTCCTTGGAATTGGAGCGTCATTGTTGGCTAACGGAGTGTCGTTGTCGGAGCGCCGCAATGGGTTGTTGGAGCTCTGCTGCTGGTTGCCGGAGCTTCGTTGTGGGTTGCCAAAGCGTTGTCGGTCGTCGCTTCCACCATCACATTCCCACCATTCACACTGTGCTATGTTGTCATTACGCTGCCAAACTTATATTTAGACGACAAAAATAATCATACTATTTAAGTATTTCGCTGGTATTTTATCCCCGTCTATGGATATTTCTTTTTAAATAGTGAAATTTGGCCTATATAGTCACTATGGGTAATGTTCATAGGGAGTGAACTAGTCCATAAACGTTGAATTAATACAACATTCTGGTGATAGATTGTGATGAGATTTAACCTAACAACTATGGTTGACAATATAGATTGGAATATAACACTTGTATCATTGTATTAGCTTAACTGAGCTTGGGTTATAATGAAGGAAAAAGTCTCTTATTTATAGTCTAATATTATTGTATATTTAGTATGTAATTCGCTCGCTACAATATCGGGCTAATTGGCTAATCGTGCGTTAATCATGCACGAGAAATCAGTCGTCAATTACCCCTGATCAGTGGGATTACCCTTCCTCATATCTTGCAATCTAATTAGTGGGTAGGGCTCAGCCCGCCACTTAATCATATTATTCGGCCCACCACACTTTACTCGCAGGCGTCGATCCCCTTACTCTTCTTGGGCCATGGGAGTGGGACTCTTCGGGCCTTCCTGGCCCAGCGATTGACCTGATACCCATTAGATTGATAGGCTTTCAGCGGAGGCAATATGGAAGATTTATTCCGAGAGACAACAAAGAATATGGAAATAAAGAAGACATTGAATCCACAATAGATTTTAATATATTTTATTATCATAGTTCATTTAGAATCTAAAAAACGAGAGTTATAACATGACTAGTTGATTATAAAACCAACTAAAACAATTACTTCGTATGGATCGTAGAATAAGATCGAGCCTTTGTTGATTTGCCCCTCACTACCATTGCCATGTTCACTGTTTATAAACTCTCTCTTTGCTTTGTTTCGATGTCTTATTCTAGAGGGAGATGAAGTTCCTTCCGTAGTCACATTACTGATTCTCCACATTCATTGGATACGTCGCAATCTAGTATGTACCTCTATAGGGAGGGGGATAAGGGGACACGTCGGTTCAGGAAGCGAATATTGGTGATGAATGCTGCTGCATTATATTTTCGAGTTAAATATATTTTTGGTTTGTGTAAAATTTGCGAGTTCTGTTTTTTATTCAATTTAAATATATACATTTTGATCCCATCAAGATCTATACATTTTGTTTTAGTCTCTCTAAAATGTATTTGTGTTATTTATTCGTATTTAAATTTTTAAATACTTCTTACACGATTATTTTTTTTTTTCATTCAAAATATTCTTAATTACAAAGTCAAAATCAATAAGTTTTCTTTAGAAACTTAACAAAATAACTACATTATTTTCATAATGCTATGACAATATTCCATATATTTATAAATTTCATAAAAATTAATCTAGGAATATTTCTTATGAAGTACTATGTACTTTTTTGGTATATTGAACCAGGTGCCCTAATTAGAACTATCTAGACTTTACATAGAAGAAACCTCTCCCATCTCTTCATCAGTATATATCTTGACTCTCTGCGACGCAACCCATCGGTCTACTCCAAAACCCTTCGAAGCAAAAAATCAATCCAATTTCTTCTCTGCATCGCTACGAACTCAGCATCCGACACGATGAGGTAATCTTCGTTTTCACGGACTTTTCATCCCCAGCTATTTGCTCAATTGATGATTCGCCACTGTATTTGAATCTGCTCGCTCTGATTGAAGCCAATTCGTCTGCGAATTGAGATTGTTTGCTGTGAAGATGAATTATCCTTCATTTTCTGTGTTTTTTATGAAAATCGATTGTAATCCTAGGGTTTGAGGTTTACAGGCTTAGATTACTTGCTCCTTTCAATCGATTCGATCTCTTTTTCAGATTTGATTGTTTAATTCTTCTTGTGCGTACGATTCATGAACTTTTATCTCCAATTGCCGATAAACCTCTTCAGGATACATGTAAGCCGAGTTGTGTTTTGGTTTACAATTTAGAACTGAACAATTCTCCCCAGTTGAAGTGTCATAATACTGTGAGAGGCGTATCAGCCAAACATGAAGTTAAATGTTTAGATCTACGCAGTTATGCACTACTTCGACACGATGAATTCAGATTTCAACTTGGGCTATTGAACTTGTACAATGCGGGCTTTGTCTTTATGCTGTATATATGCTTGTTTGGTATTTTTATTTTTCCTCCTGGTGAACTACTTGTTGCCTACCAGTGACAATGAGGGTACACTATACTGCATGTTCGCTTTAAATCATTAAGCAAAATAGGATTCAGTCATTGTGCCCAATGTGCATTAGACAGTAATGGTTGGCACGGTTTATATTTTGTTTTTGTTTTTTAAAACTGATTTTTTTAGTTCCAAGCGTCTCTCCCAAACTTCAATTATGGCAGTTCACTTCTAAGACTTGCAAATTCTTTTTTCATGGTACGTTCAGCCGCTCTCCATCTGTCAAGTGGGCCCAGCGTCAAGACAAGGTCTTCCTCACTGTTGAATTACCAGATGCCAAAGATGTGAAGCTTAATTTGGAGCCAGAGGGGAAGTTCTCCTTTTCTGCTGTAACTGGGCCAGATAACACACCATACAAAGTGGAATTTGATCTCTTTGATAAAGTTGATTTGAGTGTAAGTGGCACTTCCATCGACTCATTCTTCATATTTTGGTTCATTTATACTGGTATTGAACTTTTTTCTTAACCACAATTCAGGAGAGTAAGTCAAACACTGGTCCTAGAAATATTTTCTACATTATTAAAAAAGCAGAAGAGAAGTGGTGGAGCAGGCTCCTGAAACAGGAGGGTAAGGCTCCATCATACCTGAAAGTTGATTGGGACAAATGGGTTGATGAAGATGAACAAGATGAAAAACGTAAGCTCACAAAGACATCTTTATCATTCTTACAGCATTAGTTAGTTAGACCTTCAAGATTAAAAATTGCAAGGTTTGAATTTTTTCCTTTTTAATCACTGTTATTTATTCATAATCTGTGGACTCTCTCACTTGTAATTTTCAGCCGAACCTGGGATGGACTTTGGTGAAGGTTTTGACTTTTCGGTAAACAGCTAGCATCATGGATAATGGAATTTATAATTTGTGTTCGTTTTTTATTTGTTTGTTCATTTACACTTTCATTTTCACCTTTCAGAATCTTAACATGGGTGGTGCTGGAGGTTTTGACGGAGATTTTGGTGCTGGTGGAGCAGGTAACCACCTTTAATTTTGACTCAGCTTGAACAATCATTCTATATGCGTGTTTTAGGAAAGTGAAAAGTTTATTTCTTATTTTAAGCATCTTAAGTTAAAAGCAAGTGCATACTTTCTTATGGTCTCTACTAGTAGTTTTTGCTGGAACAATCTAAAATTATCNGGGCTGGTTTGGAGCTTATATAGTATGAGGAGGACAGGGAAGAAGTTTTCAAGGAAAGATTTTTTCTTTGGAGAGACAATCTGGTTCAGTCATAATTAGAGCCCTTTTGCCAATTGTTATTGCATCGAAATGGTGGGACAGAATGGCCGAGTTTTAGAGAAAAGCTTTGTCTATGTATATAACGATAACTTATTCTGCTTAGTATTCTAGGTAGTGTAGGTACTTATTCAATACCGCGGGTATCATTCTATTTATTATATAAAGACTAACAACCTAGTAGGACCTCACAAGAATAGGGTATGTGTACACTTACTTTACCCCTAGACGAGGAAGTTGTCTTAGGAGGATCGTCAGATAAAAACATAAAAATGCAATAGAATTATCAAATATTTAAACATGAACACCAAGGATGGAATAATAGAGCACAGATTAGTATGTTGACACTTAAAGAGATCAATACATGCAGTGTTGAAAAGCTTTAATAAGATTTTAGTTTAGCATTTAAAAATCCCCACCTCCATCCCAAAATCCATTTGTTTTCTGACATTTGGATTGATTTGTCTGATCTCTGCAGAGGACGATGAAGATGATGACAGTGACACCGAAGAAGATATTGCCAAGGATACAGAAGCAGTTGCTGCTAGCAGCAATGCAGCTGAAGAACATGAGCCAAAGGCTGCTTAACCCGTCCTCGTGTTTCCCTTATTTTCGCTCTGTCTGGCTTTGTGATTGAACGGTAAGCTGCAGTCCACATTTCAATGTTCACTGCTGCTTTTGTAACCTTTTAGAGGATCCTTCATGCCTTTGGTCACACATTTTGGATTGGTGATGAGAATGTTTGTCTAATGTAGCGTGTTTCGAACCTTCACAATATCTGCTTTCAACTTTGGATTTGTAATTTGTGTTTGTTTTCCATGAAGCTTCTTGAGTTGGCTGCTCTTCCTTTAAAATCTAGTTAGTACCTATCTCCAAATTTTACTAAAACAAGATATAAATAATACTCCATTCGTCCCATAAATAGATTCTACTATGTATTTTTTTTTCTGTTTTTTTTAAATGTTTACTTTCAAAGGATCTTATTTCTATTTTTTCTGTACCATTTTTAGTTATACAGTTTTTAATTTTTTTTCCATAATTTAAGTGTCAATTTAAATGCAAAACTTTTTTATGAAACAGTTGTAAGTAGTATGAAGTATAGACTTTTTTTTTTCTTCCTGAATCCTCACTTGTTATTTTGTGGTGTTTTAGATTGGGACGGTAATTGTTGAAGTAATTCGATTTACTGAAATTGCTGGACTTGATACAATTTGAGAGTGTAATCATGTCATTAATTAATGTATGTGTTGTTGCTTTCAAAAAACAGAGAATTACAAGTATATTTGACAAAATGAGTACATCTTTGTTACCCTATATCACACCCTGATAACGATATTAAAATAAATAAAAACCGGAGTACTACATTAGCCTGGGCTTCGGGCTTCAATCGTTAGGTCGGCTATATGGCCTCGGGTTTAGAAAATTTTTGTGAGGTAGCGTCTTGGTCGGACTCGAAACCCAACCCGGCATTTTTTATTTTGGAAATAAAAACATGAAATTTTCATTTTTGGTATATTTTCAATGGTTTACTCCTTTACACTATGTTTGGTTCAAGGAATTTGGAAGGAAAAGAAAACAAAATGATTTTCTTTCATTTACTCACCAAAATGGAAGGAATTTGATTTTCTCTCCATTTGGTATATTTTTCCTCCTCATTTTCTTTTCCTTCCACTTTTCCTTTCTTTTCCTCTCTAACCAAGCAAGAAAAATGGTTTTCCACTTCTTTTTCTTTTCTTTTCCCTTTCAAATTCCTTGAACCAAACATAGTGTTAGGGGGTGTTTGTTTTTCTGCCAGAAGACATTCTGGTGTCTTTTGTCTGCACCGCGCAAACACGCGCAGATGATGGACTTTGCAGATTGTTTGTTTTTTAGAAGACATTTCACTCAAAAAGGTCTTCCTGGCATTTTCTTGGAGAAGACATTAACCAATGTCTTCTAACATCTTCTCCCTTTTTTTCTACTTCTCTTCACCACCATAACCGTCCACTGCCACCGTCCACCATCACCATCATCGTCCATCACCATCGTCGTCCACCACCACCGCCACCATCCACCGCCACCACCACCACCTCCGTCAACGTCCACCACCACCCTCCACCACCACCACAATCGTCCATACACCACCACCATACACTACCACCATTAATTTATATAGCAGTCTACAGACATTAAAAAAACAAACAGTCTTCTTCTTGCAGACCGCAGACCTTCGGTCCACCACTTCTCCTGCAGATGTCTACAGTAGTGGTCCGCAGACCTTTTCCTGTAAAAAAACAAACACCCCCTTAGTCTTTTTCCCGTTTTCAATGTTTTACTCCTTTAGACATCTCACAAAAAGGCCTTGTTGGGTGAACCTATATATTTTGGTTTATTTAGTCCTAAAACTTTGGGTGTGGGACTAGGAGAAATTGCAACAATAACTTTATTATAATGTAGTATCTGTTCATATATTTTCAAATCTCAACCTATTAAAACACACATAGAGTTACACCCTCAGTGAGACTTAAACCTCTGACCTTCCATTTGGGAGATTCACTCTGATGCCGCTGGGCAAAGGTCTTTGATGAGAGGTGTCTAATATTCTTTATGTAGCAAAGTATTTGTCCAGTTTAGATTTTTTACCATCAACTAGAAATGACATATAACCAATAATTAAACCAAAACTACATGGTAAATCTAAAAAAAATTCCGTATCAACATCTAATTTAAATTTTATTTAATTAATGACTAAAATTTATTAATTCTAACTGTAAAAAGTTAAAAAAAGACAAATAATTTAGCACAAAAATTGTAATAAATAGACAAATACTAAGTACTTACGGAGTATTTATTTATTTATTGAATGTTATTGACTCTATTACAATGTAGTATATATTCTTCAATCAAATAATGCACAAAGAGTCAATGTTTCCATCTCCATTAAGACTCGAATCTGGATGAACTTTCCTATATATCCTGGGGAGTGGGCTTCCTAAAATTCAAGCCACGAGAGGAGTTCAGTAGTTAATTAATTCTTCACGAAATATTTATTTTATTTAATGCCCATCACATTAAGAAATTTATTTCCCATTGAAGGAAATCAAAATTGCAAAATTTAATGTGCTCAATAAAAATAAATATTGCAAAATTTAATGAGTTGTTAAATGCAAATTAGTAATAAACCATTAAGGTTAGTGTCTGATCTGATTAATTAACTTATGTTTCTTCCGTTTTATTTGCTTATAATAACGGTCTTCAAAACGATAGTAAAACTTATACTAATTTTTCAATATAGTTTTTTCTAATTGTGTGTTTTCTCAGATTGCTCTATTTTCGAAATAAACTCATTAAATATGGAAAAAATTAAATTTTGTAGGATGAGAATATAATAAATAAAACTATTAATATAATTTAATAAATTTTAAAGTAAACATTTCAAGATATTGATAAATGTTTAGAAGAATATTATGTAAATAAAACATTTAATACTCCTTTCATCCCAAAACAAGACTCATATTAATTGAAAATTCGAAACTAAGTTTTTATTATATTTATTTTAAAACACTGCGATCAAGCATCATAAATCGAAGTAGAAGTCTTATTTCAGTACGGATGGAGACATTTATTAAATATTTAATTTACATGATGTTCTTTTAAATAATTTCTAAAACGTTTGCGTTAAACTTTATTTAATCATATTTATAGTTTCATTATTATATTTTCATCCTAAAGTATTAAAAATTATTTTTATAAATTTCATGACATTTTATCTTAAAATGGAATAATTTGAGAAAAGACACAATGAGAACGAATCATTCTGGAAAACTATTGTAAGTTTTGACGTCGTTATGACTACCGTTAGTTGGAGGACTAAACTGAGTATTTTTTCTCAATTAACGATTATCATCTCGATAACTAGTTCATCTTAAGAATTAATTTAGGAAGTTTTGTAGGTATTGAGTGCCATTTAGGAAATTTATTCTTTTTTAATGTAGAAATTGAGTATATTCTTAACTATTAAAGTAGAAATTGTCACTCAATTGCAATTGTCAACCTTTAAATGATATGATTAACTTTGTGAGATTTTTATTGTGCAAAACTTGAAATGAATCATTATTTTATTTAAAATCTTTTCATAATGAGAATGTCCGGTTATCTCATCATGTGTATATTTCGACATTGATTATCAATATCATAATATGATATAGGCAATTACATAAAATTGATGATTTCTACTCATCCAAACACCTCTAATTCCCTATGTCCTTCTTGATCGGGGGTTATAAACTCCTAAATATAGGAAGGGGATATGATAGGTACAAATTGCGGAAAATTTTCAAAATACTACTCAGTAACTATGTTTTTTCTAATTTAGCCCTCAAGATGAACTATTTGCCAAGATGATACTCATTAATTAAAAATAATACAAATTTAGTCCCCTCATGTAACGGTCATCAAAACAGCATCAAAATGATATTAAAACTTATACTATTTTTTCAAAATGATCATCTCTAATTGAATATTTTTCGGAATTAGCCTATTCTCAAAATATAAAGTCATAAAAAATGGTCTCATGACTTTATCCAAACATCGAAAATCAATTAAAAGAAAAGACCACACCTTGATTTTTCATATTTAATGAGTTTTTACTTCAAAAATGAACCAATTTGAAAACAAATATTTAATTACAGGTGAAGATTTAGGGATTGTAGTATAAGTTTTAATACTATTTTGATGTCATTTTGATGTCTGTTAGTGGGAAGGACTAAATTGGGTATTATTTTTTTAATTAACGAGTACCAACTCGGTAATTAGTTCATTTTGAAGACTAATTTAAAAAAATACATAGTTATTGAATACTATTCAGAGAATTTACTTGTAGAAACTATCAATTTTGCTCCTAAATTGTAGGTGCTCTGTGTCATACTTTCTCCTTCTGAAGTTTTATTCTCATTTGACTTATCTAAGTCAAAGTTTGTAAAGTTTAATCTCGATATGTAAAAAAATTACATGGTGTCATATACAAATGTAAAATCAATAAAGGGTGAGACTGGTGACGTGGCAATTGACAATTATGACCCTTCTTTTTCTTGGTCTCCAATTGCTAACATTCGGAAAGTTTGGGGGTTATAAATAATTTAAGAATAATTTGTTTGATACTGGTTGGGAAAACTTTTCAGAGTCTTCAATATACTCGGGGTAATATTTTGGTCATTAATTTTTATATTCGTAGACAGATATATCTTATAAATTATTTATATTTCAAAATTATGTTTTAAAAGAAATTTATTGATTTTACATTTGTATATGACATAAAGGGTGAGGAGGCTTCTTGTGCGCGGTGGGCACGGGTCTAGCGTTCTTGGCCGACTGAGTCACCATGATTTACATCCTCCACCATTCCTGTCGGGCAAGGGGGTGGGGGCGTCTGGGGTGGGCGATTCCACCTTTTGGACCGATCAAGTATCAACAAACCGGTTCCCAAGCCCCCATTGGAGATTCGCATAACGGTCGATTTATCATACCGGATTGTTCCTAAAAATGAACCAAAACCGTTCCTAATTACTCCCTCTGTCCAGAAGTTCTCATTTTGACTTTTAGTGATTTTTAAAGAGAGTTGAAAAAAGGTGAAAGTTTACTATAATATCCTTAATAAAAATGGGTGGAGTTTATTAAATAAGGTGAGTGAAGTGTAATAAATAAAGTAAGTGGGGGTAGTTGTGGTATTTTAATTGTTAAAAAATGAAATGAAAAGATCTATTGTGGACAAAGAAAAAGGACTATTGGGAAGATCTATGGGGGACGGAGGGAGTAGAGTTTTATTGGTTAAATACTTAAATTATATCGAGTATAAATTTTGAGTATTAATTAAAAGTAAATTCCATAATTGATCTTTATAACAAGAGGGTTTCCATATTTAGTCTCCTATTATCAAATATTACTCATGTAATCCTTTT